GTGTAGCTGTCAGCTCACCTTTCTTCAGAAGTGTGAAAGCTTTTGCCGGTAAAGGTGTGTTTTACAATCGGTCCGTAAAGAAGCGTTGATCGGTTCAAAATGACATAAAACCAGGTTCTTTTGAATAACCTATAGAATTGCACCATGATTCTATGTACAATTTTGTGATGACCAATGATGCACTAATTTTTTGATAAGTGAATTTTTTTTGCCAAGCAAGGTAAATGTAATCAAAATTCTTTGTTGTTAATCAATTTTTTGTTAACTGGAGCCTTTGCTAACTGAGGTTCTACTGTAAATGCATTTTTAAGGGTGTCCCTAATTACCCTGGGGGTGTCCCTTTTTACCCCGTCGCGCGGAAATGGCTGCCATTTTTTTTGCAGTGAGATAGGCCAATTCTGTCATTACATTTTCAAGCCAACACTTGGGTGTAACTTTTATGTAAGTAAAATTTTTCAACACGGCGAATATTTTTTTTGCTCCAGACCTTAGCAGAGGTACTTTTTCAAAATTGCAATTTTCACACTTTTTTTCAGCAATTTTTTTGGAGATAGTATAAATGTTTGATTTCTTGACTAGCTTTATACATAATAGATAGTAAAAATGTTGAAGTTTACACCACTATTTTTAGTTTTGCAATATTTTGATTAGTTTAGCTGCTACAACATTTCTACAAAATGTGGGACGCCCATCCCTATTTACCCCGCCCGTCCATTTTTACCCCGTTTGACGGTAGTTTTATGTCCTATTAATCTACCAGGCTCTACCCTCTATACACACCGACTAGTAGTGACTGAGACACTGAGTGACTAACTGCACTGTTCCCATTTAATTCAGACCAATAAACCAATACTAAACATAAACTAAACGATAACCAAATAAACCTCATACGGAACTTGAAACGAGACTTAAGTTATGAGAAAAGCTAACACTGTTTGAAATAAACATGTGCACAATTCAAATATTTTTTATCCATTCACTGCATTTAATTATTTTATATATAGTCTTATAATTGTAATTGTTTTGTTTCTATTTTTAAATTCACATTGTAAGGGGAGGCGTTTGGTCCCGGTAAGTTTAATATTTATATTAAAGAGGTGGATGGTACAGCAGTAGACAAGACTGGCATGTAAGGCTACTGAAACCACCTGGGCACAGCTTAGGGAAATATATTATGAAACGCTGAAACCAGCATACAATCAACTAACTGTGCAGACACCTGAAGTTGGTGCAGAATGAAATGGGGTTTGTAGTGTTATGATGGTATGGAAGCAGCAAGGCACACTAGCAGTTGGGGCTTTCACTATAAAACACAGTCGAAATCTTGTGAAATCACCAGGCCCTCAGTCCTTGTTGCAACTAGCAAATCGCAAGTCCTAGTCACTAAAACAAAAAAACTGGTTAACCAAGGACACCCACACGGGCTGACATCACACAAGATACAAATGGCAAATGCATGGTCAGGCAATAAAATCAATCCCTAATTACCATCTAAAATTGATTGCTTTTTACTAGAACATCACAATAAAAACATATATGCTCTGGCACAATAATTCCGGGCAATGTAAAAATTAGTTAAAAGCAAAGAAAACGCCAAGAAAATTCACCATATCAATATTGAAAACGTTTCGGAGTCCAGCTCCATCATCAGTTCGACTAAACTAAAAATGAATAAAATCACTTTAAAAGTCAAAATTCAAAGACAGACATAATTATTTGAATAATTTGAATTTTGACTTTTAAAGTGATTTTATTCATTTTTAGTTTAGTCGAACTGATGATGGAGCTGTACTCCGAAACGTTTTCAATATCGATATGGTGAATTTTCTTGGCATTTTCTTTGCTTTTAAATTCCTTGTGAACTTGCGATGTAAGCAGACTAATGATATAAAAAATTAGTTATATTGAGAAATCCCGCTCAGGGGTGCACTGGGGAACCATATAAATGGAAAGCACTTCTACAGCTGGCAAAAGTGTCCACCCAGTGGGCCAGCAAGTCACTTCTCTGTGTGCTCCACTAAGGTTGAGGCAGGTTACTCAAAGGAATCACTGTTTTCTCAGTGCTCATCAACAGCCCGCCACAAGGAGCAGGCAAATTTCACTTGCTGCACTGGAGTCGTGGTGAAGGATGCCCTTGGATTCAGTTTAATTCCCAGGTTTTTCTAGACTCAACTCTTGATGCCCTATAAGTGAACAAAATGCGGGAATTGGCTTTAGTGCACAACAGGAGAGCAAGTGATAGATATACAAGTATGTAACATAATAAAATATAACACAATAAATGCATTGGCACACATGATGCAATTATAAATGTAACACAAATGGGTGAATATATAAAAGAGTGGGAGCATTAAAACCTGGTTCAGGCAAATGCCACTACTCACCCATAAAGGGGCAAAAGCAGGCAGGCAATCAGCAAGCAGCAGGATCAGGCAAGGCACGTAGCCGCATCAAATGTCTGGTAAACTTGCATCAATTCCATCAACTACAGCACAGGGATAAGCTTAAGGCTGGCACAAATACATGCACTGACTCAAAAGATCTATCTGAGAGTGATTTACATTCATGAGTCTGGAAAGAGAGAACACAGGTGAGTGGAAAGAATGCATGGTGCAGGGAGCTGAATAATGATACACAAGCCACACCACTACAACATATTTAAAGATTGAAATTAAATATTTTAATTAGAATACTTGTATTAGGGTGGAAAATCTTTCTAATTGCCTAAAAGGTCAATACAATCTCAACCTCTCAATATACAGGGTGAGGCAGAACTGACTGAGCAATTTTGAGGCAAAATAAAAGAGTAATGCATAACATACCATTTAGAATACTTAATTTTGAAAACAATATCTGGAAGATGGGGGCCATTAGCTGCAACACACTGTTGGAGTCGTTCTCAGAGGAGGGAGTAACTGTGACAGTGAACTCCGATTGCTATGCTGCAATGTTACAAAATTTCTTGCAGCCCAGAATGGAAAACATTGTTGAAAATGAAGCATTGGGAGACGTGTGGTTCCAGCAGGATGGGGCTACAGCTCACACAGCCCGAGTGTCACTCAATGTTTTGAAATGCATGTTCCCAGACTCTGAGGGGTGATTTACAGTGGCCTGCAAGGTCACCTGATTTGAGCATTTGCAATTTCTTTCTTTGAGAACATCTAATAGAAAGGGCGTTCTGATGTTGCCATCACACCCTACCACAGCTAAAGGAACGGATTATTGCAGCAGAGGTCATGGCCATACCTCGCTGTAATGGGGAACGTGCTGTAGAAAACTTCTGAGAATGACTCCAGCAATGTGAAGCAGCTAATAAGCCCCATCTTCCTGATATTGTTTTCAAAACATAAGTATTTTAAATGGTATGTTATGCTAATCTTGAGAAAAATAAACTTTCTTCTTTATGTACCTCCATTACTCCTTTATTTTGCCTCAAAACTGTTCAATCAGGTCTGCCCCACCTAAGCTAGCTAACACATTTAAATTGTATATTGTAATCAATATATAACAAATGGTCAAATAGTAGTTAAAGACTACTTATAGCCTTATAAGAATTAGCTAAGCTGCTAGCTATGTACAATGTATTGCACACTTGATGCCTCTGTACCAAAAACATTCAATTTATTGGAACCTAATACACACTAAAGGCAACAAGTTTATATACCAATTTGTCATTCATAGTACATTTATACTAAACCATGAATAACAATACCTCAATATAAATTAAAGACTGCCACTCAATATATTTAAATATATGAAAAAATTTGAAAAATAAAAAATGAAGAAATCATGATTTTTTAGAAAAAAATCAAGTGATTTAATCACATGATTTAATCATTTTGATTTAATCATTGCCAACTCTGCCCCAGTGGGTGTCCCTTATTACCCTGTCACGCGGAAATGGCTGCCATTTTCTTTTAATGAGATAGGCAGATTCCGCCAATTGCGTTTTCAAGCCGACACCTGTGTGCAACTTTTATGTAAGTAAAATTTTTTAATATGGCAAAATTTTTTTGCTCCAGACCTTAGTAGGGGTACTTTTCCAAAATTGCACTTTTCACACTTTTTTCAGCAATTTCTTAGAGATAGTAAATGTATGATTTCTCAACTAGCTTTATACATAATACTGTAGATAGTAAAAATGTTGAAGTTTATGCCACTTTTTTTAGTTTTGCCATATTTTGATCAGTTTAGCCATATTTTGATTAGTTTAGCTGCTACAACATTTCTACGAAATGTGGATGCGTGTCCCGGTTCACCCCGCCCGATGCTTATTACCCCGTTTGATGGTATTATTTAGCTTGGCCTAAAACTAAAAAACATGCATGTTATTAAACTCTAAATTGCTTTAGAAACACTGAAAATATATTTTTATTTCTTCCAGGGGGAAATTAAATATTTGATGTACCGTAATATGTATGCTTAGCATTAGCAAATTTATTTTCTTTGTATTTTTTTTTTGTTTTGTTTCTTATCCTTACTTTTAAATGTATGCAAATTTAATTTTCATTGTCCAGGAAATGAATCTACAGTCTAAAAAAAAGTTGATTCAAGGCCTTCCATTGATTGATTTAAGTCTCACAAAAATTCATTTGCAGCTATTGCTTGCTAATTTGCCTGACATTGTCCACAGTCAAAATAAGTATGACGTGATTTATGATCATTTAGCTCAATTAGCTGTGATCCATTCAAAATCAACCTCAGAATCAATCACCTGCAAATAATATCAAAAATATAACTCAGTACTCACTGCAGTGAGTGACAGTGCATTTTCTTGTCGACAAAAACGTGAAGTCACGGACGGACAGACAGACGGACATGGCAAGCACAATAGTGCATTTTTTCATAAATGAGAAAATGCGCTAAAGAGGGTCTTGATAATTTGTGTATGTGTGGATAGATCATAATTACTTCTCTGATGTTGACATCACTCTAAACTTCTGAAGTTGATTTGTACAATTGGATGAGATATCAAGGTTGAGATCAATTCATAAATGATAAAAAACTACTAAATAAAATGATAAACATGATATAATTTTACAGAGATGAATGTGTGAAGTTCCCAAGGTTTTTCAAGATCTGATTTCCTTAAATCTATAATTCCAATTGGCATTGTCAATATTGACCATGAAAATGGTTCTATCCCAGCGACAGCGTGAAGAATTGTAAGTATTAATACATGCGTTCCTATTTCTTAGTCTTTCATCATATTTATTACTAGCTTGGTGTTGAATTATTTTTTTTATTCTTGCATATAATCATTTATCATTTTTATTCAAGTTTGAAAACCTGAACTTGTATACCTACTATTTTAAGAGCAAAGAAAATGCCAAGCAAATTCACAATATCAAAATTGAAAATATTATATCAATATAATGAATTGCCTTGGCATTTTCTTTGCTGTTAAATGCCTCATGAACTTGCAATATAAGCAGACTGATAAAATAAGTACCTACTTGTATACTATTTTGTTTCAGCTAAACTATTTTCTAATGATGTTTGTGCTTGCAGAAATAAGGCTGTGGCAGATTACCTCTGCAGCAATGGCTATATGGATGCACTTGAAGCTTTTAAAGCTGAGGCTGATATGCCAGGAGAAATAGAACGCAAATATTCTGGCTTGCTGGAAAAGAAATGGACATCAGTCATACGTTTACAAAAGAAGGTAAGAAAAATGTTTGTATTCAAGTGACCAATATTAAGAGCCAGCCATTAGTTGTGAATGATTGAAGATGAACCTAAAGTTCCAGTTAGTGTGCATTTGTTTATGTATTCTGTATAAAATTTTTTAGTTTAAAGAAACCAGTTTATTGGGTTACGGTGAATCATTTTTGGGGCTGAATTTAGTTCCAATTTGAGCATATGAAGTTAAACCACAATATATTCACATGCTACTAAATTATCTTAACTGAATTCTCAGGTGATGGAGCTGGAAGGGAAACTTCATGAAGCTGAGCGTGAGTTCATAGCTGGAGCACCAACACGAGACAAGCGATCCCCAGCTGAGTGGATCCCTCGACCTCCAGAGAAATACTGCCTCACTGGTCACAGGGCTCCTGTTACAAGGGTGAGTCAGCCATTGCCTGACCGACTTTTGCATACAATTTTTGTGCTGTATGATTTGCGTTTCTGAGCAAAGTTTAATTAAATTTATATTTTTTCCTGTGTTGGAAAATGAGATTGCTAGTGCAGACGTACAACAATTTTTTATGATAATCAGTGGAAGTAATTGAAGTGACTCCAAGTTAGAATCATTGGCTGAGGCTCTGAGATGGGATTTGACTGCTAAAACTTCACAGTCAGAAAGGTGGGATGCCATAACGCAACCTTCAATAACTCAGTGACAAATGACAATGAATTTAAGTTAGAGGATTACATATTTGTGTATTCTTCCTTTAATGAATTTTTTCTTGCTCTAACAAAAGTAATAATTAAGAATGATTTTTTAATAGTATCTTGTTTGGTAGGTGGTGATCCACCCAGTCTACAGTCTTCTTGTAAGCTCCAGCGAGGATGGCACCATAAAGATCTGGGACTATGAGACGGGCGAATACGAACGAACACTCAAGGGACACACAGACAGTGTCCAGGACATTGCCTTTGATCCTGCAGGCAAAATACTTGGTGAGTTCAGTTAGCTTCTAGTAAATGCTCTTATTATTATCTCAGATATCACCATAATTTAGTAAACTGCTCATATTATTACCTCAGATGTCAGATATCACCATAATTTTATAAACTGCTCAAATTATTGAGACCTAACTGCCTGAGCTCTTCATGATTTGATTAACTTTGCAAGTTATTAACTGAGATTTCTTATTATCATTAACTACTCCAGTAATTAACTGAGACATTATCATTTTACTAGCTACTCCAATTATTAACTGAGACTTCATTATAATTTTACTAACCACTACAAGTATTAACCAAGACTTTAGCATGGTTATACTAACTACTAAAATTACCTATTCACTGAGACTTTGTAATGTTTTTTATCGAGTGTGACCTAGTTTGCAAATACTTTTAAAATATTCCAATTGAAAAACTGATCAAATAATAACTGCTCAATAAGTTTGCCACCAATTGAATGCTAATGAAATTCATTGAATTTCATCTCATCATATTGGGAATCATCAAATATTTTATGTATGAAGTTGGGCCAAAATTTGATGAATTGTTGTCAATTAAGGTAGAGTACCATAAGATGTGCTGCATTATATTCTGTACATTTGAATTTGTTATGAAGAAAGTACAAAGTATAGTGATATTTTTGTGTCCATGTTTGAGTGCACAAAGACTGAGTAATATTGTTGTGTGCAGCTTCATGTAGCGCCGACATGTCCATCAAGCTGTGGGACTTGTCCACGTTTGAGTGCACGAAGACTCTACACGGCCACGACCACAACGTCTCCTCGGTCACCTTCCTCCCCACCTCAGACTTCCTCCTCTCAGCCTCGAGGGATAAGAGCATCAAAATGTGGGAGGTGGCCACCGGGTGAGTTTATTTAATGGCTACTGTTGGTGGCAATGATGCTGTAAGTGGTAGCTCATAAAATAATAATGATGGCCTTCAGTGTACCCTTGAAGAAAGAAAGCTCAAGTCAGTCAGTCCTGACAAGAGTTTTATCTGTGGTGCGAGTCTTTTTTTTGGAAAAATTTTTCTATGGCCAAAAATAAAGACCGAGTTGTTCAAAATCTTTCGTCTGGTGAGGTAAATTATTCAGTATTTTCTAATATGTCCCAGATAAGATGCCTAGGCCCTAAAATCTTCAGGCACTGTAAGTGAATAATTGTGGACAACAATACGAAGAGTAAATGCATGAAGTTTTTAAACAGACGTCAATGAATTTTTAAACCTGCATGTGGCTCCCAACAGTAGCAAAGTGAATGTTCATTGCAATTTTCAGGAAAAAAGATTTCACCAGCACTGAAACGGTAGGCTGGTGCGGGTTTTAATAGTAGATTGTAAGAATGAGGTGTTTCACAAAATCATGCCAAGAGATGATGCATCGTTATGATAAGAATATAGAGTTTCAACAATTTTTCAAGTTTTCTAAAAACTTCCTTTTCAATTACACTTAGGCGTCGAATAATGATTCTGGATAAAAAAGACACGATCGCAGTTCTGAAATAAAAATCCATATATTCTAACGTTTCGGCTATCTACACTTTAATCAACTTGTACAGATAAAATCTGATCTGATATTTACTGTATTCTTATCTGAATTTCTATTCTTTCCAGATTATCATCTTATTTACTCTGATGATGGCTAAAGTGTAGATAGCCGAAACGTTAGAATATATGGATTTTTATTTCAGAACTGCGATCGTGTCTTTTTTATCCAGAATCATTATTCGACGCCTACGTGTAATTGAAAAGGAAGTTTTTAGAAAACTTGAAAAATTGTTGAAACTCTATATAAAAATAAAGTCCGATTTATTATTTCTGAGTTATGATAAGAAATTACTTATATTGTTTATGCACAGACAGCAAATGAGACTTTCCTGATGAGGATTTACAAACTTCGTTTAGAATCCAAAACATGGTAAATCAACATTGGCACCAGAACCTGCTATTTTTATTTGAAGAATCTCATGACTAGAAAAATAAATTGAAGGCAGTGGGTGCAACCCTGACCAGAATCCACTATTTTTATTTTGAAGAATCTCAAGACTAGGAAAGTAAATTCAATGCAAGGTCACCCAAAATGTCAGGAAACATCACTTCTGACAGTACATCAAGTGTTCAACCTATCGTCTCTGGACACTAGCTCTCACTAACGGCCCTTAGTTACAAAATGCATTGACATTGGACAACATGTCCATAGACTAAAGATTAAATAGATTGAAAAAATCTTTTGCTGTGTCTCATGACAGTTTTACTGGTGCAGGTACTGCGTAAAGACGTTCACCGGGCACCGGGAATGGGTGCGCATGGTGAGGGTGAACTCCGATGGCTCCCTCATTGCCTCCTGCAGCAACGACCAGACCGTCAGGGTGTGGCTCACCCAGACCAAGGAGTGCAAGGTGAGGGGCTCACCCAGACCAAGGAGTGCAAGGTGAGGGGCTCACCCAGACCAAGGAGTGCAAGGTGAGGGGCTCACCCAGACCAAGGAGTGCAAGTTAAAGGGCTCTTGGAAATATCCTACCTGTGTGGCGATTGATTTTCGATTGAATTACTGATCAATTATGGAATCAATTTTTCTTCATCGAGTTCAAGATATGAGTTGATTAAAATCATCAAGAATTTAGAGCACAAGCTCTTGGAGTAACTGCTCATGACTGCTATGATATCAAATTCATATAATTTATTTAACGATTTGTTTGTCCATGCTGCATCGTGAGCTTGATCATGTTGTGGAATATATGTTTCTATATCCAGCCAGTTAGTAAATACTTTTTATTCATTCAGGACTTAGTTGCATAATGCTAGCTAGCTGCTTACTGTGTTTCGAACCCTCAACTTGTTACGTAGCTCAGTGTTGCTTGACAACTTGACTTTGTAACTAATGGCTCACTGCTGAGATCCAATAATCACATTAAAATACATTATGTATACATTATGATGGTCGAGTCATGCGAATTAATATAAGATTGCATTAATATTGATATTAATTGTGTGCAGGTGGAGCTACGTGAGCATGACCACGTCGTGGAGTGCGTGGCGTGGTGTGAAGGCTCCTCGGCAGCTAGCATCGCCACAGCCACCGCCACGGATAACAGGCGACCTCAGAACCAAGGACCCTTCCTGGTCTCCGGGGCCAGGGATAAGACCATCAAGGTGAGGGGCGAGGGTCACGTGCATTTCATTGTAAGGTTTGGGACGTGGGTGTAGGCAGGTTCCATTTCATGATGTCTAGACAAAACTTTACCCATTTTCATATGTTCCTTTCATTAACGTGCATTTCATTGTAAGGTTTGGGACGTGGGCGTAGGCATGTTCCATTTCATGATGTCTAGACAAAACTTTAACCATTTCCATATGTTCCTTTCATCAACGTGCATTTCATCATAAGGTTTGGGACGTGGGTGTAGGCATGTTCCATTTCATGATGTCTAGACAAAACTTTAACCATTTCCATATGTTCCTTTCATTAACGTGCATTTCATCAACAGGTTTGGGACGTGGGTGTAGGCATGTGCCTGTTCACGCTGGTTGGACACGACAACTGGGTGCGTGGTCTGGTGGTGCACCCTGGTGGCAACTACATCCTCTCCGCCTCAGACGACAAGACCGTCCGTACCTGGGACATCAAGAACAAGCGCTGCCAGAAAATCCTTGAAGCACACACCCATTTCTGTACATCGATAGGTGAGACCATAATGTTACTCCTCATGTTTGTTTCAGTTGCTTTGAGTTTTGCACGACATACCGGACTAGCAATAGCATATCAGTATAAATGAAGGCTAGCGTGCTATAAATGATTTTTATTTGTTCTAATTATCAATCATTATTATAGTATAGAAAAAATTTCATATCGGTTGATCTTTCAACGATATTTGCACACACTTACGTCCTCTGTGAGTGCCCATCATTTGGTGTGACGGCAATTTTTCGGCCCCTACGGCAATTTTTCCCCCATCTAAGCCAAAACGACCCCGACACACACCCAAAAAGTATTTTGGCCCAACCAGAACACGGTAGCTATAATGTTGACCGCCTCGTAGAATACCTGAGAGCAATAAACATGTTCGACTGTATATGATCTGGTCAAAGCTGAATACATGTGATGCAATATGTTCTTAGCCCATAATGCCCAACGTGACATTCGGCGCGAGATAGCTTAGCAGCTGAAGCGCTAGTAATCATAGGGTCACTAAACTAACTAACTTGCACACACTTATCAGGATAGATCTCATTTTTCTGTGCTGACTCAATCTTTAGTAATCCGCAACTAATTGCGAAGATGAAAGTGTTTGGTGTTTAGGAAATGCACCGCAGCTTCAGTGGTTCTCATTTTTCCCTACTGCCTCGTGCTCCAGTGATGAATGCTAGGTTGATGAGAGTTTTTGGTGTTGCAGACAGGCACAGCGTCTCCATTGGTGCTTATTATTTACTGCTGCCTCGTGTTTCAGTGATGCTCAATGAAATGCTTTGTTGATGAGAGTTTTTGGTGTTGCTGACAGGCACCGCAGCTCCAGTAATGCTCATTATTTACTGCTGCCTCGTGTTTCAGTGATGCACAATGAAATGCTTGGTTGATGAGAGTTTTTTGGTGTTGCAGACATGCACCGCAGCGCACCCTACGTGATCACGGGCAGTGTGGATCAGACCATCAAGGTGTGGGAGTGCCGTTAGAACTGCGACCACCGGCATCCGTGCTACGATGGGCGGAGAGTTTGCTCCCTATGCGATATTATAATATGGATTTAGTGACCTTCCTTGAACTTGCTTGTAAGGAAAAATTATGTGGAAATAAGTGCATAATTTGTCAAGAATTTTGTATAAATGTCATAAGTTGTAATTAGAGTGAGGGTTGGCTTGTTGCATGTTTTACATCAAAATCTTGAAATTATTGAATCGTCGTGATGCATCCGTGGCTTTTCTCTTTTTAGGATACGAGAATTGTAACACTATGAGCATCATTTATCTCTAAAAATGCTTATAAGTAGAGTTTGTCTGCCCTGTTGAGTCTGAAATTCGTTGTTCTGGCAGGTTGTGATGATATTACTCGTCTGCTTATCACCTTGACTGCGATTTCAAGCAAGCAAACAGACTTCAGTTTCCTGTAATCTTGAGCTAGTAACGTCGTCAGGTTGTTGAGCTAAACTGCTATTTATTCTGAACCTGTCATCTGGCAAAAACATTCTGCCAAGTTTAGCAACCCTAAGAGTTCTGCGCTGAAGAATGTTATTTGAAAAATGTATGTGAAAGTATTTGCTTGTTACGATTATAACTCCAAATTATGCATTATTTGTAATGTTTCTCGGTGCGCCGGAGTTCTAATAGTGCTGCAGCGTTGGTAATAATGCCTGAAATATTGGTTAGTATATGAAAACTATTTGCATATTCCGTACAATATTGTAACTAAAAATATTTCTATTTGATTCTTCCCTGTTAAGTAAGACTGTCTTAGTTATTTTGATTGCATGTCCTTACAAATTCATTGTAGAGCTCGGAAGTTTTCAGAGTTGCGTGGCTGGGAACACGAATTGTGTAAAATCGTTATACAGAGTTCTATCCATTGAACTTCATCAAAATCATGAGAGAATGAGCATTAATTTTTCGTTACATGAAAAATACGAAATTTAGCGTTCTACATCTTGATGATCTTAATTGAAATTGTACTGAATTCATCTTATTTTTTTTGTATTCTCTTCCTTTGACTCTTGCAATTTTTCATTTAACTTTCATTTATATTGATGAATGACAATAATGCAATTTATTGAATGGTGTGAAAACACGACATATGATTGCAAGCTGCGAACCATCTGAAAACAATTATCGTGTTCCATTTAATTCTTTGACGTTTTGTTCTCTTCTCAATTTGCTGCACTTGGCAAATTGTTCAAAAATAATTTAAATCATGAATTTCTTCCACTTTTCCAGTCCGATTGGCTTTATCAGGAACATGTATATTATTATCATCATCATAACTACTCATACTGGTAGCTCTTGCTGCATGCTTTGCTTCAACTCCATATTAATGACAATGAAGCGCCGAAGACATCACGTGTAAATGACACGTGAATGTTCTTACTTTGTTCATGATATGATCGTTTCCCTAGAAGAGCTCATGTTGACGAAGGAAACTATCACTCTGTAATTAATTTTTTTCAAATCTTTGCTAGAAAGAGTTTTTATGCTGGAAATGTACCGTCAGTTGTCGACCCCAGTGAGCGTTGTTTGTACAGTAACGTGTAGGACGATATGTCCCTGCTGTCTTTTTGGTGCTCTTATTCATCTCTCACTTTTGAGTGTTGCACCAGAACTTGACTGAACCTCTGCTATATATTTTATGGTTGTCGCTTTCATGTTCATTAGATTATATTCATTGTTGTCCACCAGGAGTTATAATTGCCTGTCATATTTAGGTCGAAGAATAATTTCATTATTGAAAACACATCAATTATCTCTAATTAATTGCGTGAAACAGCCCCGAGATATTCACGAGTTTTTTTTTATAAATTTTGGGATTATTGCGTCGACGGTTAATTATGCATGTGAAATAACCAGTGCTTCTCATAGTATCATATAATATTTCTCAGAGTTCATGCAAGAATTTTGTATGAATCAAACGTTTAAATTTCATGAGCTTTGTTCGCTGTAACACAGCACTAACTATATTTAATATCCAAATAGACTGTGAGTTGGAACTTCAACGTCGTGGCCGATATTCTCATGTCCTTACATATACCTTGAATTAGCACATAGTTTTGTGTAGGTATTAAATTACATGAATTACTTAGTTTAGCTCGCAGTATAATTAATAGTAATCGAACCCGCCGAATAATAAAGCCTATTTGGAGCCTACATTCAGAAAAATGTGCGAGTCATATTGTTCAATTAGTGACACAATTGCTGCTCATAGCACTGATACGATTTCTAGGCCAAGCTGGGTCAAGATGACCCACATATAGGCAAATGTGCATCGCCATTTGAACCAAGTCTCGTTGATTTCTCTGAGTGTACTTGCATCCAAAAAAAAACTAATTGTCCCAGCAGATATTATCTCCTATATAACCAGTCAGCCTGCGCATCATCCCTGAATACTTCACTTTTTATCTTAACCATATTTATTAGCCCCCTCCACTCTCCACTGCATCTGTAGCTTTCTTGCTTCGTTGCCAGAGCCTGGCATCGCTAGGCTGACAGATCCATAGGCATCTCTTTAGGTGATTATAGATAAGTAACGATTTCTAAAATACATTCATGCAAATATTTTAGATCATTCACTGTTTCTCACAAGACTTCTTGCGTTATGAAACTTCGTAGTTTCTGTAAGAATTTTCAAATAACATATTAATTTTTATCGTGTCTGTGACTTATCACGCAGCGTTTATTTCAGTAGTGACGCGTCAACGTAATGCCGTTGGACGCAAGTATTAGCCACATCCACCCATGCCTCGTGTAGCCACTATGCCTCCTATAGCCACAATATCTAGAGATGAATTATGTCTCCTTAGCAGTTACTAAGTCTACAATAATAAATAAGTATGTAGTTCATAGACTATTCGTGCTTCGTGTATGTGATTTACCGCTACCCGCACTTGACTCTTATTCTTGAGGCCATGGAGGATTTATATTTTAATCTGTTGATAGATTCTTCATCGGCTTCTCATTTTTTATAAATTGATTGCTGTTTTAGATAAATCTTTTATTTTTTTATAAATTTCTCTGTACCGGAGATTTGGAGTTATTTTCATTTTCAAAGGCAGTTTGTATCCATAGCTAGGGCGCTACGAGTGCTCAGGGTGCAATGAACCCAGCATTGATATTTATTCTGATACCGAAATTCCTCCTACCGTGCAATTAAAAGTCAGCTGCTGACTGCTTTTTTCCTCTGAGACTGCCGCGAAATTCAGTCAAATTTGTGACGTGTTTTGTAGGTGCTAAGGAGTCCCCGGCGTCAACCCAATGCCAGGCTAAAGTAACTCAAACGCATGCGTTCTCTTCAGTTCTCCATTTGCCTGCCACTTGAAATCTTATGGCTCTCGTGAGCTTTTACAATCACCAAACCAAAGAATTTCGTTGTCTAGATTTATACATATAGAAAACATGTCTGAAAAAGTTTTGAGCGTAATCGCTGTATCGTTGTGCTGATTGCCGTGATTCGTGAATTGTTTATTGAAAATGTAAATCGTGGCTTAACTTCCTAAGTTTTATTGTATCTTCAAATTAAAGTATAATACGCCCGAGCCTATCCTGTTACAGCAGTACTATTATCAGAATCTTGAGGATAATGTCTTGCATGGACGTTTACTTTGACGACTTCCTTGCTCCTGTAAGATGCGACATTAAGCAGCAGCGTTGAAAAAACTAGCGCTCATGACCGGATTCTGCTTCATTAGTTGTCGAGTTCTGACTTTCTCTTGCACTGTGGAGGTTTTTTATATGATATGAATAAATCATCTTTACTCATTTTGTTATCTAAATTATCTGGGACAAAATGGATTACCTCTTTCCCGAGCTCTGGAAAATTTACTAATACTGCCAGCACTACCCTAATTGCATTACATGACCCATTGCATTGCTCTACGCTTGAAATTTATATTTAATTTTGGTCAGCTGAATTTTGTTGAGAATTATATTCCTTTCCAAAATAACGCTTAAAAGTTTTGTTTCTTCTTCACTTAGTATTTATCACAGAATCTTAATTTCGTAACAATTATGCAAATATTAATCACATCAGGGATACCCTAGCCTCTTCAACTCTTGATATTTTGATATATTTTCCCAATTGAGTAATACTTGTTTAATCAAACCATCAAAATCCGACAAACGCGTTTTGGAATATTTTATTCAGTTTGTAAAGTAGCTTCTACTTTTATTGTACAATTGTGCAGCGATTTTCCCTTGCATGTTTCAGGACTGATGAACAATAGTGTATATTATTGCGCGGTTTTGTTGGCTGAGTTGCTGAGTTTTGATAGATGCGTTGCGTGCGAAAGTTGAAAGTTTAATTTTTTGTGTGAAAGTTGAGATTATTATTGAAAATTCAACGGCTTAACCACTTCTGAGGTCTTCGTTTGTTTAGTAGATAATTTCAAAGCTTGCTTATTTCTAACGGTCGTTAATGTCCAGCCTTCATTATCATCTCCATTCTTGCATGTTATCTATACTGCTGGTTTCTTGAGTGGTTTGTTGTTATTTTCAAGGCGATTGTGCCTGGGGTCTGCACTTGATTTTCCTCTTATTAAAAAACATGAAAAATGTAAACTCGTATCCTGGTCGCAACTTTGCCTTGACTGCGGGAACGTTCTCACTCTCGCTCCTGACATGAAACGCTTGTTTTCTATGAAGAGAAGTCTGCACTGAACGCTTCTCCAAGCGCTTTCGTTGATCATTTCTTATTATTCATTTATGGTTTATCCTTCATCTTCTGTTCGTTTCTTATTCTTCATTTTATAGTTTATCCTTCATCTTCTGTTCGTTTCTTATTCTTCATTTTATAGTATATCCTTCAACTTCAACGCTCTTCTCCACTGATGGTCCAATTTGATCAACAGGTCAATATTTTGGGCCATCTTTTTTCTGTACTTCACATCTGTCATTACTTCAATTCTTTTGCGCTTGACGGAAGTTGTGTTAAGTTTCTTCCATTTCAAGTCTTCTATGTTTTTTCTTCAGCTTTAAAGTCCGCGTACTTATTAGATTGAAGAAAAACAAATATCTCCAGTTAGCTGTACGCATCCGAGACAACTTACGATGTGATTCTAGTGCATTATCCTGCCATCGTTTGAAGGACACATTCATTTTTTTCATAATAACGCTATAACTATTTTTTATTGTGTAAGTTACATTGATTGCTAAAGTTCATTCATGTATTAAAGCTGACGTCGGTTTGTTCTTGTGATGCACAGCGACTTTGAGAAGTAATTCCTGCGAGCAGTGGGATCGTTCTGTTGCAGTCAGGCCGAGGTTAGCGGTTTGTTACTTTACCCTAATTTCCAGCCGTCCTTGCTTAGTTGACTTCAATAGTGGTACCTGAAAGAGTAGAGAATAGTGGTACCTACATGAAAGAGCAGAGTATAGTGGTACCTGAAAGAGTAGAGAATAGTGGTACCTACGTGAAAGAGCAGAGTATTGTGGTACCTGAAAGAGTAGAGACTAGTGGTACCTACGTGAAAGAGCAGAGTATATATAGTGGTACCTGAAAGAGTAGAGAATAGTGGTACATGAAACAGCAGAGAATAGTGCTTCTTGAAAGAGCAGAGAATAGTGGTACTTGAAAGAGTAGAGAATAGTGGCTGTCTCTTATACACATCTAGANGCAGAGAATAGTGGTACTTGAAAGAGCAGAGAATAGTGGTACTTGAAAGAGCAGAGAATAGTGGTACTTGAAAGAGCAGAGAATAGTGGTACTTGAAAGAGCAAAGAATAGTGGTACTTGAAAGTAGAAGAAATGCCCATCGAAAGTAAATTTTTGGCCGTCATGTTATGATTGCGTTTAGCGACCGTGACAAGTCACTGTTGTTGGCCGCGTGAGTCTCGCGTTTAGTGCCAGCATATTAAGTTTTTTTCGTGACATTGCTTAAACTTTGCGTTATGTAGAAAAAACAAAAACAAGTTGTTATTTATTATCATCTTTTGTTTTGTTATATGGCTTTGGTTGTTTGGAAACTTCTTTGACTAACCGTGCGCGCTCTCCAATTGCATCTTTGTATGACATTTTTTTCGCGCGTCCACCGGCTTTTTACTAATATATTTTCGGCGTTATGATGTGCTGCTTGATTTGATAATATGGTGCAAAAATACCCTCCTGATACTGCAATTCTTGTAGTCAAACAGAGCGTTTTCTAATTCTTAAAGCTCAGACAATTCTTCACTGAAGGTAATTTGGTCAAAAAATTTGAGAACGAGCACTGGCAGCTGACCGTTTTTTATTGATATGTTCAGCTCCTCCAGAGCAAAATAACACATCTCGTTTCTTAGATTTGAGTAAAGTGCTATACATCTGTGTACATATTTAAACTATACTGTATTGTACATTTATTCTCTACATTTAAGCTACATGTATGAATGAAAACTTGTTTTTTTTTCCTTCCTGCCTGTTCAGTCGTTGGCCTTGACTTGCGAACTTTTAAATTGAAAAATCTCGTCTTTTAAACTGCTATAGCGCACGTAGATCGTGCGTACTATAGATCAATGAACATACGGCATTAAATCGCAGCGGACATGCGGCACTGAAAAGGCCGCAGTCCTCTGACTCGACCGGGATCAAATGGCTCGGGCCTCGAAGTTGAGTCACCCTCTCTGCATGCGAGAATGACTCTCGTGTGAAGGGAAAACCACCAAAAAAATATTTATTAAAAAAATTACCTCTCCCCATGTATCAAAAGCGCTGAGGATAATCAGCAGGGATCTGATCCGACGGTTGCAAGTACGTTGGGCGTCTGCCGTTAGTGGTACGACGACGCGGTTGACAAGAAGTGATACACTTAGCGTCCCTATTATTTTATGGTCTCTTGGTCCAAGTCTGGGAGAGTGACCCCATCTTGATGAACACCCAGAGGACGGAATTCATACAAAAAGTATCGACTTCAATTATGAATTACAATACATGTGTTCCATTGTTTATTGAATCAGGTATGCTTCTAGACTCCCCGTTACTAGTGCAATACAAAGTTCCATACAATACCGGAGAAAATGAAGCATACAGAGACACACATTTGAAAAAAAACGATAACCTAATACTGCCACCTCCACGTCAACTGCAATTCAAATTACCTCACTTAATATAAAATTCGTTCAGGAACTGAACATTTTAGGCCAATGGAAGACAATCACTCCCTCATTACACTGGCCAATTGGCGTCCGCTGACATTGATATCACGCACAGCCACGGTTGCCTAAATACTGAAACCATCAATACAAAACTGTGAATATGAATCACAAATTCTTCATGTTCAACTTCTTTGCAGCGTACGAAGTTTTCTCCCAATGTACAACAGCTTGACCTGCATTTTACCTTGAATATTCTAATTTCTTATAAAATAAACTAAAAATCATCCAGCATCCGACAATACTTGGCCAGAGAGAAGCTATAATTAAGGAAAAAGTAAGTGGATTTATCTAAGAATTGGCTTTCTTCGTTGTTGATGCTCGTCTACCAAAAGTAACTTGAGTTACCAGGCTTTTTAATGCAAATAAATAGCCTTCAAAGCATCGGTACGCACGGACAATACGGCGCACAAATATGGGTGGTGTCTACTGAGAACTGAGGTGCAGAGTACAGGCGGTGTTGCAAAAGAGTCCCAGGTTTCAAACCATACAATCGCGAACAGTTCTTTGCGTCACCCAAGAGCAGACGTATAAAGTGATGCATCTGCATTACCGTAGGCCTAGCCCAATGCAAACCTTGGGTACTTGTTGCCTAAGACGATATTAAGGATAAGAGCGTAGAGCTGCTCAGACTGATCATTGTCACTTCAGCGAGCTGGAGCGCAGCCACCTAAGCCAAGATTCGCAATCGATGGCTTGAAAACCTGTGTCGTGTTGAGATTTAAAATAAATTACATAATGAAGTTGTGCTTATTATTTTCGTGCATATGCATGATTAAGAACGATATAAATTCATAACTGTTTTTGAAAACGAGATGCAGAGAGAGAATAAAAATCCACACAAAACTTATTAAGAGAAAACACGACCAAACGAACATTACAAATTATGAGCACAAATTTACAGAAATAGCAATTTATCAAGGCTTCAATAATCGAGATAATACAATTCGTACAACCTTAGCATTGTACCGAAAATTATACGTTTCGCACAAGATCTTCTTAGATTTCATGCATTCACCTTAGATAATAATAGGATCTAATTCCAGGGAAGTGAACTCACGAGAGCGCGATAAACATTCAAGAACGGATCTCCTGTATTATAGAACTTGCACGTTTCTTCTTTGTTTCCACACCGAAATAAAATATCTGCACAAGTTTTGAATATTTGTTGCTCTTTAGATATCCTTCAGTCAAATGTTAGTAAAATCAAGTTAAAATACACTCAAGATACGACGAAATTTCTTCCTTCATTCACCTGAGCCTCCAGACACCGCCATTCAGCATTAAATCTAGTAATCCACTGACACTTTTTACATTTTTTTGTACTTTCTACAGGCTTTAAATTCACCTATTACAATGTAATTATGTCTATAATAAACTAAGTCTGTAAAGAACAAAGTAATTCTTTAAGGAACAGAGTATTTTGTGCAAAGAACAAAGCTGCACTTCACTGCATATCAGCTGCACATTTTGCAGATCACATGTCCACTAAATATTAATGTTAAATGTAAGCATAAACTATGGCAGTTGTGACATTCAAATGAAGGCGAGACAGTAAAAAAACACACACATATATTGCAATATAAATGGGAAGCTCGTAGCTCACTGTCTTGTTATATTCAGTTATTAAAATTAATTAAAGAAATTGTCATGAAATTATTAATTTATTAGAAAAATAGACACGCTATATTCACCATAGCATGAGATGGTCGGACAAATGGCAAGTCAACCACCAAATGACAGCAAATCCCAAATTTGGCCTAAATACAAACAAAATCTTAAAGAGTGACTGGCCAGCATACATTATAAAGCGGCCAGAAAAAGTTCTTTAACTAAAGATTTTTAATTCATTAGCATTATGTTATTAAATTATTAAGCAGTTTGAACGTACTGATTATTTCAATATTAGATCAAAGTTATTTTATGGTTATAGATTATTAGCGGAAATAACAAAGCCACATAAGCGAAGCACCGATAATATACCCCATCCTTCAATGGTAACTGAATTATTAATTAATCCATCCTAGAAACTTAGACAACTCTTCTAGCCGTGACTTCATCGACTGCCAAAAACTGAACAAAAAACTGTCATCACTCACGTCACAATTATATATGAATAAACGCTACCTCAAGTAGTGAATGACCACGTGACGCCACATTAGAAGTAGTCTTCAAATAACACTTACCTAAATTAAAGAACGTTACTACATTAAAATAGTAACGTTCAAAGTCTTCAATCGAGAGTCTAACCAATCAAAAAAAAAAAAAAACCCTCAATGTTAAATTAATCAATGCTCACAAAAATTACGTCTAATTAGCGGTGCTATTTATAAGTAGGTGCACTATCGGTCTAGGAGTGCTAAAGTATATATTAGACTATGAGGTTCTCAAGAGAATATCTTACGTTGACTGAAGGAGTTATCACATGTCAAGTGCTTGTATAAAACCTAAAGAATAATGCACGGCTAAAGCACCATCTTTGCACACGGTATTAAAAAACAAGCTGGTATGCTTGAGCAACTGGAATAAAATTCAATATTTTGAATTCTTTTTCATTCACCTCTAATGACACAGAAAGTATTAGCAGCCAAACTTGTTCGGAAATTTTTACTGAAAACTTATTCAAAGTTTGAACTTAATTATAACATGAAAACAACCCTCACACACAAAACTCAAGAAAAAAATTACAAAAAATTATAGTTTGACAACTGAAAGATATTCAATTTCTTTGATGAGAAAAAATTAATTTAGACTTACTCAAGTATCTCGTACAAAATCTTGAGTGCCCACTAAAATGCCCGAAGTTTCTGCACAGTCTCAGATGTATCATTATGTCTCTATTACAGTAAGATTAATATATTAGACTTCGATGGTGGCTCGAGAGCAGAATAATCTAATCAGAGACGTAGCAGCGAGAAACTGCCATCAGCTTCTGAAACTGCCATCAGCTTCTGAAACTGCCATCAGCTTCTGAAACTGCCATCAGCTTCTGAAACTGCCATCAGCTTCTGAAGTGCGCGCCTATCAAATAACCTGGGGAAATATCCACAAAAAAATTCTATTCGTTATAATGTAATGCTAACATGCATCAAAAATGAATCCAAATCGAATGGTTGAACAAACTATCCAAGACCCCTCTCGGCTCTCAACGATATAGGAACATTTATTTATTAGTAAGCATGTTTCTCTATGCTGAAATTATAAATTAAACTGAATTATATGATACGATATTTGTCATGCATACAAAATAAGTATCATACAATATTATAATATGTCAATCTGTGCCCTTCTATTTAAAATAAATAATATATGTTTAAAAACTACTTTTTAAAGACAACACTTCCAAAGAATACAGTATCTCCAATCTTACAGATGTGCAATGAATTTCTCATCTAATTTTCGAAAATTAAAAAAATTACCTTTCCAATTTTTTAAATATACATATAATTTTTTTTAATATATAAATATTTTTCAAAATTATTTATTCTGTCAATTGATTCGTGCACTGCCTCTGATTTCACACAAGTGTGCAAAATTTCAGATCAATTAGACAGGTAAAAGTGTGTCAAATATCAGTTATATGATTTGTAGCTGACAAAATTATTTTTTAAATTTTTTTAATATTGAAAAAAAATTTTTTTTTTTAATTTCTAAGATCATTTATTTTGACATTTGATTCATGCATTGTCTCCAACTTTACACAAGTGGGCAAAATTTCAGATCAATAAGATAAGTAGAAGTGTATTAAATTTTGATTACAAGATTTGTAGCAGACAGACAGACAGACAGACAGACAAACAAGAAGTGAAGTTAAAGAGAAGTGTTGTAAAAAAGCAAAAACTCCCAAGCTGAATAACATAGGTTCATAATATGGTACAAATGTCAAGGCTATCTACCACGTATGACTCACCTGTGCTCAGCAAAGATAAAATGAACACTAAGAGGTGCTTCAGTTCAGAGTCAGACAGAGAAAAAACATAGAGAACTTGCAGCTCCCCGCACCACCAGGAGTAGAGCGCGTGCACTGCAGAGAACAGCACCACGCAGTAGCACAGCAGAACGTCGTTGTCGTACGAGTCTGTGCATGAAGTGTTAATGATTATTCTTTGCATTTAATACGTGGTACCTTGGTAGTTTTATGTTATACTAAAGATAAAAGCTAACGTAGTCTGGTTGGGTATAATTTTATCTAATGAAAGAATAAGGTTTGCAATACCTGAGAAGAGATGAATACAAAGGAAAAGTGTCGAAGGACGATATTTACCTACAATGTAGTGTATAATGAATCAAAGGAGCGCGTCAGAAGTAAATACTTTACAAAAATTGAAATTATTTTATTTCAATTATATTTTAGACATTAGAAATTTAATTATTATAGAGAGAGATGTTTGACACGTGTGATCCCAAGATAAGCAGTTTCCTACAAAGAGCTGTTGCGTGGCTGAGCTTTAAGACATCAGCAAAGTTGGAGGCACACACTGAAACTACGTCAGACTACAGACGATTATCAATTAAAATTGTATTACAAATCGAAACTGTGAGCGCATATTGAATCATAACGTTCATAACATAAAGCTCACCAGGATGATGAGCAGTTGTGCGACGAACTGTTGACGTTTTTCTAGAAATCACAGTCTCTTGAGCAGCAGGATGTTCAATTCTGTGATCACTTGTTATAACAGGTCTCATGACATCAGACGGTCGTCGAGCTACAGTCCTGTCAGGAATTTCAGGAGGACTGGGCGGCGCTTGCTGAGACAGGGACACTGAGTGAGTAACATGAAGAGGCGGAGATATCTTACGCGGTGCAGTGGGTTTTTTGGACGTTACATTCGAAGATGAAGGGGTACTGGAGCTCTCAGTGCTGGTGGTGGCATAACCCAACAGGCTGCTGCTCTTGGTTCTTTTGGAGCTAAGAAATTCACGATGTCTGATGAGAGAATCAGCAGCGTCTTCGTGTAGGCTCGTTGGTATGGAACGCGAGACGTTCTCGAGCAGTTGTGAGTCTCTTCCAGCTTCAGGACATCGTAACCGGCGGTCCAGAGATAAGTTGCTAGATTCAGACACTGCTAATCTATGACGGGGCACTAGTGGGGTAAAAAGATCCTGGTCAGAGCTTGTTGCCAACATGGAACTGAGATCTTTCTTGTACCGACGTCCAAGGCTTTCCAGTTTACCATCAGCACTAATGAAGGCCGAGTTTTTAAGGTAGTGTTGCAGTTTCTTTTTGAGTCCCAGAAATCTAGCTCGAGTCTTCTGAGATGGTCGACAGTTGATGTAGACTGGAATAAAATGCTCCCTGATGATACACTGCAGAATTCAAAATATTGAATTAGTATCAGCAACATAACCATTGATTTGTGCTCATGTCATGAACAATGTGATGAGAAAATACAACTCCCACATGAAGATGTTTTGAGATGCTTTAATTAATGTAATCAAGGTAACTTAAAAGTAATCAAAGTGAACTGTGTCTACATTTCAACATTAAAATTAGTGAACAGTACATCAAAATTGCAGGAGATGCTTATTATTTCATTTTCAATATGTGAATTATGGTATTTTTAATTTATGGTAACATACTTTTTCTTTTTTACTGAAAGCTACCAGCTGGAGAACAGCCAGGTTTGACTGCTTTGTGACAGGATGCTGGTAGACCCGACACTTGACCTTACACTGAGCCTCCACAACCACCTCGTCCAGGGCCTCGACATTCACCAGGGCAGGGTGACTGCAGGACACTGGAAAAAACAGATGGTATTACTTGTAGCCCATTACATTTATTGTTATTATTACTATTCCACAGAGCATTTATTGTGGCATCTGGTTCCAATGAACTATGAGGGCATGTCACACATAAGATTAATAGCAAGCAAAAAATAGAAAAAATAGAAAAAATTTCTATGCAGAAAAAGAAATAAATAGCAAAAAGACAATTTTATATGAAAACGTTGACTTAATGATCACCTAGTGACATAAGTAAACTTTGGAGATGATATTAATATTTATTGGAATTAATATATTCAGCATGAGAATGGTTCTTAATAAATTGAAGATAAACTTCTTACCAGTGAATGAAACTGGGATTGATGACATATTCATAACAAGAAGAACATCTTGGGTTACATCTTTCTCATGTTCAAAAGAGCAAAAAAACTTGAAGTCCTGTGGGCTAACATTGATGGCACACTCCCTTGGGTCAGTGGTTGCACAGCTTGAGGCAGCGCTGGAGCTCGAGTCATGTCTTGAGAAAAGATGATCCTCATTCATCTTTACTTCTGGTTTAACAAGAGTCTTGGGAGCAAAGGTTTGCCGATTAACTATGATTGAATTGTAGGTTTAAGTTAGATATAAGAACTGTTCAACATAAAAGTAAATTTTTTAAATGTATGAATTTGGGAGACAGACTTTTTCTAGGTTAAATTATTAGTAGATGCATATATAGAAGAGCAAAAGTTTTCAAATTCAAATAGAAACACATTTTCTAATGATAAATTGTATAGGTACAGTAAAATTTATGGATTTATACCATTAAACAAATATTCACAAGCTTCCTAGATATTCTACAATATAGAACATTGCATGCATGCACACAACACACTCATTTGGACCCCATTTCCCTTTTCTACAACTATACCAAGTACAATTTCAGACATCTTATATTCATCACTGCTGCCAGTAAATTAATAAATTGCTGATGTGGGTCAAATGAACATATTTCTGCAATTTTAAGCAATAATGCATTTGGTATTGTAACTGTCCGCTGAATCAAAACATTTCTATTAATTCACCCTTCTATCACATTTTAATATTAGTGATGTATCAGAATTGTCAAGAACCCAAACACACAACATATTGGACACAACCAATCACAGTCTGGAGAGGATGACATCTCAATCCCACAACCAGTTAGTTTAGTTTAGTTTAGTGGCCAAATTTTTACTAGCGCTCCAGCTATTAAGCTATTTCGCACCAAAAGTCAAGATGAACATCACCATAGAGGTGGAAGGTTTCAATTATTCATCACCCACAAGGCGCGGAAGGTCTCAGATGTCCAGCCCACTGAAGCTGGCTTGAAGGAAGCAGCATTAGCATCTCAAAAGAGACGAAGTGACAAGGAGGGACAGGTGAAAAGTAACAGAAACAAAGACACTAACAAGAGGTTGCTTACACAGGACGTCGGCTGCCCGCACGAGAGAGACAGAGAAGGGAAATGTAAGGAATCCTGCCTACATAATAACTTAACCCCACAACTGAGACCTACAGTCAGACACCGCGAGCTCAGCAGTGGGGTGCTCAGGAACAATCCTCCTAGGAGCGCGAAATCCCATAGGACTTCTGACGAGCACAGACACGCGTCAGAAGTCCCCCCTGAGGGGAATCCCACAACCAATCACAGTCTGGAGATGGATATGTATCTGCCCATAAATGACAAGCTTTATGCACTATCCTAGAATTCTAGTCTGCTAGGAAGAAAAAGAGATCAAATCAATTAAACATAGCTGTTACACACAGGAAAAAATTTTCCAAACCTTATTATACAGTAAAAGATCCACCTTCAATAATATGATATAGACAATCATAATTTTTAGTGCCACTTATGCAGACTAAGCCAAACTGAAGGCATTTTTTACAACCAAAATTTTCGACTTAAGGACAAATTTTGATAGGAGATTATCATCAATCATTAATTTTTTATGAAAGCTAAAAATACATCTGATTTTGCTTAAAAAAATGATTGTTTCTAAAGCTTCATGGCTTTTTTTTAGTAACAACATTATTTCTAGTGAATTAGGAATATTACTTTTGGATGCAGAGTGACATGTATTAACTTATTCCACAGGTGAAAAAACATTTATCTGGTCTTCTTGCTCTTACTTGGTTAGGTACATTGAGAACAAAAGAAAAAGCATTCATTTTTTTATTACACATTTTATAATATAAGCTAACATTCGAACAGGATTTAATTTTATGAATTTAAATAAATAACCAAGCAGCATAGCATGCATGTAAAATGACCATCATGCCCATGCTACATAATCAGCTTTCTCAATGGTCATGGTAGGGTAAACACGGTATATTCCGACACATTAAGGATGCATCGAGATATGAAAAACTATAAAAAAACCGTATGCATTACGTAAGTTCTGTTGCCTTCACGTGACTCTCAAAACACTTCACTACGCGTCAGCAACGATGAAATGTCACAAAATGTTGCCATATTTATTAAAAAGCCTTTAGAATGGAAACCTACCAAATCCCTATATTCCGTCACTTTGTGTGGCAACATCCGACACGTGGTGAGTCGTATTGCGTCAGCGCTTCAAATTTAACTGATACGTATTGCCGACATCCACGTGTTCGAATTCCGTTTGCTGTGTGAGCTGTATTGGGATACAACACGGCTTTGGATTAGAACACTAACGAATATTGAACACTACTTAATTACGTTTTAACTAGCAGCTATTAGGCTTTTAATTAAGCAAATTTCAATTTTTGTACAAAGCTTTGAACGATCTGTGTGTGTCCAATTCAAGTTATGTCGGAATTAGTTTTCATGTGTCTAAATCCATTTCTCAACTTCATTATCTATTAATTTATTTACGACTTGAAATCAGCGAATACAAGTATACTTAGAGGATTCCTAATACATTCACAGACGTATTTAAAAGTCTCAAACCATAATATTTTTCCTATAAAAACAGTTATTCACTATTTGGTAGAGCAAGGTCAACTGTCAAATTTGACACATTTTTTGATGATCTCACCAGGTGGCATGCATTGTCTCTCTTTGGATCTTAATATTTTCCCACTAGATGGCCAAGACCTAGTGTTTTGGCAGTATTTTGACATGCAAATGTATGACGTCACCATTTCAACCATCAACAAATGCATGGAACTAAAACAAAGCTTAATATAAAGGAAAAGCTGGAGAGGTGACGGAATTACCTACGATATTGGAATTATGGAATATACCGCGTTTACCCTATTTAAATCACTATAATAGCACAGTTGGCAGCAATAAACTCCAAAATTATAAGTCATTGCAATAGTTCAAAGCAATTTTATGGGTTTATTATTTTAGACAATAATTGTCTTTGAAATGGTGGTGCAATCACTTTTTTTACTATTCATTGTCTCTTTTCATACAGGTTTAAATATGAGCAAATAGTAAGCCAGAAACATGAATATATCTGTTCAAGATTTTGCTCATGTTGTTTGAAATCTCTAACTATTAATTTATACTTATAGAAGCAGTTTAATCCAATATCCTATCTCCATACAATCTGAAACATAGTGGCAAAGGAGAACACTTTTTGTTATCCTTCTTCAAGTTCATTATCAAGTCCTATAAGTAGACTATTAAGTATCTTGGATTCCAGCATTATCATACATAAGAAATTGATTAAAATATTGAGTAGATAACAAAATTCAAAACAAAATGATTTAAAAAATGTCTGGATTGCATTATGATTAAAAATATCAGGCTGAATTTATCAAAAATTGCAGATAAAAACAATTGTTTCAATGAAGATTTTTCATGGGGGATTTATAACCTCATTTCTTACTGAAGAAATAAGAAGATTGCCAAAAGAATGGGAGAAAATTAGCCAGGCCCAGATATGCAATTATTCTCTCTGATTCATGGGTGTTTCTAGCCTACATAATTTTACAGTTTGGTTTCCACAAACTACAATTTTGTCATGACATTAGCTTCAGTAAAAAATACCCTAGCTGGTCTAAGCTGGATTAATATTTAATTTTTTTTTTTTTAATTGCTTTCAAGACTTCGGGTATGAACAGATCACACCTCCCAGCCTGAGCACAACTGGGTTTCCTTGTACTATATTGCCACTCTGAATAATATTTAATAGGACATAATTAACTTATTCTAACCTTAAATTCCAGTTAGACTGTCTGCTCAGAATTTCAGAAATATTTACTGGAACTAGGCTAGAGATTTATTTTTCCACAGTAAATTCATTTCAATTTAGGTATTTCTATATTCCAATGCAATTAAAAATACACAAAAATGATAACACAATGTTTTTCCTCTTCATTTATGGCAACAAAAATTGTATTTCAAAATATGTACAATTTATTTTATCAAGTCATTTAAAATGTGCATTGTATAGTAAGTTTGAAACCCTACAATTACAAACTTTGGAAAGCTATTATTGCCATTGGTCCATTCACTCCATTGGATTGGTGCATTTGAAAACTTTAAACTAATAAATCAAAAAAATTTTTTTTGTAATGTATATCATTAAAATTTCTAAGAAGAATATGAGAATTTTAAATAAAAATCTTTCGTGGATTGTCAGCAGTTCTTTGTCCCAAATCATCTTCCCGAATATTTCATAACAGTGGGAACTGGGAATTTGGGAAACAAAGAGAATCAGCTGACAATTCCAACAATCAGCTGACGATCGTCGGTTGACAACAAATTCACATAAGCACAGACAACTGAGACAAGAATAACGTTCATAGGAGAGCAGGGCATCTAATAATCAATACATTATTATTTGCACCTGCTACAAAAGTGATGGACCATTAGATTAGAGTAAGAGACAAACCAAGGTCTTTGCACTGCGAGTACCGTTCGTCGAAGGCCGTAATGTGTGTCGCTACTTCCCCTGTGCCTTTTCACAACACATGTCTTAATAGGTTGAACAGTTAAAGAGTATCAGACAACTCTTTCTCTGGAATTTCAAAGGCCACCATAAGATCTTATGAAATTTATGTTCAAAAGTACTTAATTAAACCGTACAATGCAATATTATTATATAATTTGAGATACTAACTTTTTCCCATGCTTAATTTAAATGGATGGACAAAAGTCAGTTAAAAAATGCTAGTTGGTCAGATTATAAATACTCTTCTAAATTTTGTGGATAATGACATAAATTCAAGTAAACTAATAAAATTACAAAACTCATCACAATGATCGTGAGGACTGTCACAATTATACACAGTCGCAAGGAAAGAGAAAAATAAAGTTCAACTTAACAATATTCAGATTATTATATGATGAAATGATCGTATAAATAAAGCAATAGAAAGTCAAGATGGAAGAGGCTTAAATACATCTGTACTCTTCATGAGTAAATACTTTGGTGAATGGCAAGTTTTTGAAGAAACGAATATATTTTTGCAATCTGTCTAACTAAACGAAGAAATAAATGAACCTTATGAATGAATTTCTTTTTTATAGAATAGAAGTGTCGGCGCTGAAGAAATAGGCCCATGGCCTGTTGCCGATTCTTGAACTTTTCGTGACTTGATTCACAAGGGATCCGGCCTTTGGAACCCGATCTTTCCATAGCTGACGATTGATTGAGATAGCTGCTGGACTTATTGCCTGGTCCGTAATTTGCTAGGCATTTTAAGACTGAACATATGCTCCTGCATAGCTTCGTCTAGTCTGTTTTTGAAGATGTTCATACTCGGAGCGTCAACGATGCTATCAGGGAGGCTGTTCCACATGTCGGTGACTCGAAGCGAGAAGAAATGTTGTCGCATGGATGTGTTCCAACGCTGTTTTTTTAGTTTATAGCCGTGGCCCCTGGTGTTGGTTCTTGTTTCAAATTCTAGTAATCCTTCTGGGACCTTGTATAAGCCATGAGTATACTTGTATACTTCAATGAGGTCCCCACGCAGACGTCGATAATGGAGGCTTGGAAGCTTCATAATCTTTAATCTTTCCTCATAGGACTTGCCTTTCAAGCCCGGAACTATCCTTGTTGCGCGTCTTTGAACACTCTCTACTAAATTTTTGTCCTTTTCAAATTTCGGTGACCACACGACGTTTCCAAACTCCAGGTTCGGGCGCACGACAGCAACAAACAACTGCTTCATCGTTTCTAAATCTAGGAACTCGAAAGAGCGTCTGATCAGTCCAAGTCGTTGATTGGCTTTATTACCTTGACCTTCAATATGCTTAGAAAATTTCAACTCATTGTCGATATTAACTCCTAAATCCTTTTCCGTTGTCGACTTCGACATCATCACTCTGTCGTTGCAACCGTGTCTTCTCATACTGTAATCTTGCTGTTCATTATTCTTGTAAAAGGTGGATAACTTTACATTTGTCAGCGTATAATAGTTCAAGTTGTCACACAACATGGCATCTGTACTGTATTAACTACCAGAGCTGTGTTTTTCGTATTTTTTATTATATGATTGCCAATTGGGATATATACTCGTACCGAATGAATGAGTACAATTTAAATTTAGAAACTGAAAAAGTATTAAATGAGGTTGCGCTAGTGTGCGCACTTGTAAAGACACACTGAATGAAATATTTTCGGCATTATTTTTCCTAAACTGTTTGCACAAATCGGTGGTATAAATAATAGGGGACATGTAATGGAGTACTTTTTAGAAGAGAAGAATAGGATGATCTTTGAGAAGAAGAGAATGACTAAATGACGAACGTTAGGACCAATATTTTTGAGTCACATGGAAGCGAAGGAAGCTGTGGATCATGTCATGGGAGATTGTAATCCGGGTGAGTGAGGGATTCTGAACGAAGGGGATGAAAGTGCCTTGTCTCGCCTGTGAGAGCAATTGTGAAATGTGTATTGCAGTATATGTGTAACAGTGTATTTGATTTGTCTATGGATGCAATTGTAGCTGGGATTGAGAGTTCAAAGATAAAAGAAAATGAAACAAAATTAATAAAACAACACATGCATATTATGCATATTTATAACTTTATTGCTGTTTTTTTTTTGGGGTGGGGGAATTTCCAATACATTTACATCGGGGCAAATTTTTTCATTTTAGTATATTTTAGTCCCCAGTTACGCGTGGGGTTCAATTTATGCGATAATTTAGTTTATTCTTCTATTTTTAATTATATGTTGCCTAATTGATAGGAGATCCAAAACATACTTTAATTATCACGAGTTTAAAATATAAACGAGATCCCATTGCCAATTGGTCTCTAAATAGAACACATCTGCAGAACTGACAATCAACTTAGTCACAAAAACTTTTCAGACGAGCAAAATCGGCATGTTGATTGTGCTAGCTAGCTGCTCGTATATGCATGAGTATTTCGCAAATATGATAGCGTATTAAACAGAGCTGGGCAGCGCTACTTTGAAATGTAGCGGCCGCTACCGCTACCCGGGCGCTACATGTAGCGCGCTACTGCCCACCTCTGTTTATACGATCATTTAACAACTAACATGTTGACACTAGTAACAGGATGAGGTTGACAACATTATACCGAAATCTTTCGTACAGTTTTATTCTGTATTTTATATTATGTATGTATCATGCTTGTTTTTAGATAATATTTAATCCATTTAAGTAAAATCTAAAGCCTTTATCTATAAATGTAGCGGTAGCGTTGTAGCGGCAAAACCGCGTATCGCTACTTGAATATGTAGCGGGCGCTACCGCTACAATTGCTTAAATGTAGCGCAGCTACCGAAAATGTAGCGGCCGCTACATGTAGCGCGCTACTGCCCACCTCTGAGCGTATAACTCCTTCCATACAAAAAGATAATTTAAATTATAACTAGACGTCGTAGACGATGTATGAGTAACGAGTGGAGCGCAGAATTTGACAGCGTACGAGTTTCACCCCCACGAGTCTCTGTCGCAGTCCTAGTGCTTATGCTTGAAGTTCAGTGTACCAAGATTGGAGCAGAGAGGTGTGGTACCGCAAAAACAACAGAGAGTACCGCAAAAAGCTGTGAATGTTATGAAATTTTAAGAATCGACGACAGGCCTACGGCTTAATAAACGCTGAAACCGCGAAATTGTCTTATTGTTATAGCAAAACGGTCCTTTGCTCAATGGGCCCAGTTCGAAACCTGCCCATCGAGTCTAACACTTAAGCATACATGTCGTAGGGCTTTTTGAGTTTGTCTAAGTAGCGCGTGTTACATTATAAAACATACGAGGCACATTAATGAAAGAGAAATTGGAAGAATGGATTCTTAGACTAGTAGCGATCATTAAGCTTTTTCTAAAATCATTTAGTTTGGAGCGTTTCAACTTTACCCTCTCTTTTACATTCCGATTAATAAATTTTGCACACATTTTCATGTAGAAAAAATTGTTTTGCGATGATGAATTATAATTATATACCGGATATAACACAAAGAACCTGTTTGAATGAGATTCTCTGCAATCGAATTTTGGCGCGAAATCCGACGAAGACTCCTGAGGATTGTGGGTAATGTTGCAGCCAATCACGCTTAGCGATTCGTTGAAGCTCCATCTGTTGTTGCGATTGCGGTAACGTTATCGAGTCCGATAAAACATTTGCTTTAACATTACATAATGGAGAAAAGAAGAAAATAATACGACAACATTTTACAAAAGTCATATTTGGTTCCATTTTAGGCTTTCAAAAAGTCATTAAATTAGCTTTTTGGGGATTCGTGCGTGTTTCGGAAACAAGCGGGAAAGTGTGCTAGTAGCACACGTCGTGGAGTGTTATGCGGGTGCGGTTGTGTTTTCAGTTCTCGCAAAATATATAAAAATAGGTATTCGATATTGACCTTCCACAGGTGCTGTCAAGATTTGCCAATTATCTATGTTATTGAAGGACAAAGTTATTGCTAACAAACGTGCTTGACTCAAGTGGAGTGTCTAAATGAACTGTCAGATTAGGTAAATGCCACTGAGACTTCGTCGACAGTCAGTGAATTGCTCTACACGTCCGATTTGCCGTTGTGGATCTCCGCCATGCCGCTGTTGCATAAGAAACCCTTCGTGAAAAAGCCTATTCCAGTCGGCGTTTCTCCTAACGACAAAGTCTTCTTTTGCGAGCTTACCAATGAAGCATTTCTTGACTACGAGTAAGTGAATGTCAATTTTGATTTAATATATGCAAATTGCAAACTTTACATTGTTTAGGATTTGCCCTTGGGCCATGGCCGTTGGCATTGAACGGTTGAAGTTGAATTGATGCAGCCTGAATTTCCAGCTTTCTTGAATCCTGGTGCTAACATGTTTGTTTGTGAAGTTTTTACTTGGGCTGTGAATGTGATAAGTTAGTCCTTGATAGTTGATGCTGTAAGTCGAAAATATTTTATAGCTATTAGCTATTGTCTGAAGAGAAATTTCTATGTACAATCATTTTGCTATTTGACTTGCTCAAGATATTTCAAATATTGTCAGTAACTTGTAAGTTGCAGCTTGCAGGATTTAATTTGGGCAGTAGCCTAATGTATGAACAGACTCAGAGAGTCAGAGTCAGTGACTTAGTGGGATTATTGAATGTAAAACCTAAAGAAAGAACTTTTCTTCATGACAAGCTGACATTAGTAGAGTGACTAAGAGTTTTGAACTCAGTTGAAAATTTGGCAGAAGCCACCTGTCAAATGAGGCAAAAACACCTGTGCTCACTGTCACTTTCAGATGTTTTTATGGCTCATGACTAATTCCTTCAGTCAAAATGAAGAAAAGGCACAGTTTTGCCAGGCACTTCTGAAAATTGTCCAAGAACTGTTTTTTTTTCACCTACATTTAAAAAATTTTTTTTAGAACACAAAATTGTTGCACATGATTACCTGGACCTTTGTTTGAAAATTCTCCCCTGACCCCTCTAAATAGGCATCTCTATACTTAGGTTAAAGTTTAATGTTACGTAGGGTAAACGCACCATATTCTGACACTGGGTTATTCCGACACCCCTCAACTTTTTCCTTTATATTAAGCTTGGTCTTAGTTCCACATATGTGTAGGCCTAGATGGTTGAAATAGTGACGTCATACCATTGCGCGCCAGATTTCTGCAAAACACTAGGACTAGGTCTAGCAGTCCAAGTCAACTAGCGAGAACATCGAAACCCATATGAAAGTTGATAATTGACCTTGCTCTACTGAATAGTGATAAACTGTTTGTGTAGAAAGAATATTATGGTTTGAGACTTTTAAATAAGTGTTAATATATTAGGAATTCTTTGAGTATACTTGTATTTGCTGATTTTGAGTGGTAAATAAATTAATAGATGATTGATTTAACAGACGGTTTCAGACACATAAAAACTAATTCTGACACAGGGTGTTGAAATTACGACACACAGCCTGAAACAGGGTGTTGGAATTACGACACAGCCTGAAACAGGTTGTCGGAATTACAACACAGCCTGAAACAGGGTGTTGGAATTACGACACACAGCCGGAAACAGGGTGTCGGAATTACGACGCACAGCCTGAAACAGGGTGTCGGAATTACAACACACAGCCTGAAACAGGGTGTCAGAATTACGAATTATGATTTTGAAGCGCTGTCAGAATTAGTTTCACAATATGCCGCATTTAGTCACACACAGTGTCGGAATTCAGCGATTTTGTAGATTTGAATTCTAAAGGCTTTTAAATAAATATGGCAACAGTTTGTGACATTTCATCATTGCTGGCACATAGTGTGGTGTTTCAAGAGAGTGACTTGAACCAATCAGAACTGGAGTTAGCCATTTATTTCTTGCTTCGTCCTTAAGGTGTCGGAATATGGTGTGTTTACCCTATATATAGATAAATAGCATTTAGCAATTCTTTAACTCCCTTCTTGATCTCCATGTGCATAACATTAACTCCAGTCAATATAATTTTTTAATAATAATTTATGGCATTAAATTATAGCACTTTAATATTACAGTGAATACTGGGAGCGTTTGGTACTGTGCAATGCTATGGTGTGGACTTGTGAAATTACATCAAGACCAAACCTCACCTACCAAGAGGCCCTGGACTCAGAAGCCAAAGGCCTCAAGTTCATTACCAGCATCTCACCTGTGAGTGTTATTTTGTATCAACATGATCATGTTTTCCATTTGCCTCTAAGATAAATGCTTGCAAAAGTGATGATGATTTTGATTTACATTATCTCAATATAGACATATTTTGTTAGACTTCATTTCATAAAGAATTTTTTGTGTTGAGTCCATCCCTAGGGCATATTAATTAAATATCTATACCTGTATAAATAAGCAATCAAATTACAAGTTTGAAGTGTTTCTGACTTTGGTAAATAAAAATAATACTTCAAGGCTAAAGAATTGTATTTGGCTGTAATTTTACAGGCATTAAGGACTCCTCTACTGTACCTGGCATCATTGACACGGAGAGGCCGACAGGCTGACGTCAGTGAAGATGTTTTCAATCATTGCCGTGATAGGTATTTCCCTGGGGAACCGGTTGAAGCCATTGTCAATAAACACTGGTATGACTGCAAGGTAAGTTTTCATTATTTCCTGCAATTGGGCACTAAAGAATTTTCAGAAAATGCTTGCAATAAACTTTTGTGAATTTCAACAAGTTTCAAGTAACTTTTTCAAGATGAGTTGAAATACTACCTGACAATTGCATTATATATTATATGCATGCCAGCTTGGAAGCTCCTAAGAATGATTCATATCAGATCATGTCGTTTTTGGATAATTGACACCCCTTTAATTATGGAGATTAATTTTTTGTCCAATTTATTCTATGATCTTGCCAAAATAAGCATAGAATTGAGGGTATATACATGTTTTTGCTGCTTTGCATTATTTTTTAAACTTCTTGGTAAATTATAATTAATAATTTAATTTCAGGTGATACGAGTTATATACCCCACTGCTCAAGAAATTGCATGGTATGAAGAATCAATGGCTGATTCTGAGGATGATGTTCAAGCTGTTGTAAGTGAGGGTTCAAGTACACCCATGAAGAAAAAAGCCATTTCAGATCCTCTGGATCTAGATGGCTCAGAGTCCAAGCCTATTTGTCTTGATGACGATGAAGTTAGCAATGCTGACTCGGACATACAAGTTATAGGACTCAGGACGCCTTCGAAGAACAAGCAAGTTGATCCCAGCTCACCTGAAAAGAAGGATGACTACCCACCCTATGCCACCTTCAAGTACGAGGTTGAAGAAGTGCTTGCCTGGGATTATAAGACATGTCAGGTGAGAGACTTGTTGCATTAATTTTTTTCACATTTAAAGCATAAATTTGCTCTTCTACTCTCATTGAAAGGTATTTAAAGCAAGAATATATGGTTTTTCAGGCGCTTTCTTCAAATTGGTATTGGCGCCTGTTAATAAAAAATGCTCAGTGGTGAAACTTGTGTAGGTATATCTAATTTCCATTGTGTCTGCACAAGTTAGAAAATGCATACTATGCCAATCAATACTTTTTGAACTAATTGCTTTAATTGTAGAGTAAGTATGATGTTATAATAATTTTTTTATATCAATTTAATTTTGGGTTGCAGCGGCACATCGTTTCCTGGGAGCAGATCAGGCGCAGTAAGAATGTCTTTACGCGCGAGAAGTGCAAGCTGTTCCTCAAAATAGCTACTGAACTCACACCTCTTGGATACTGGCAGCTCAAGGTAAATGCTTTCCAAATCCTTGAACACAGTACCAGGGGATGCATGCCAGAGGTCAGTATTGCCCAAGACCAGCATTTCTTTCATAGTCCTTTCCGTGGGCAAGCCTGCTACAGGGCAGAGTAGCCCAAGGGATTATTTGCTAAAAGCCAAAGGTACTAATCCCCTTCAAGGAAATGAACTAGCAAGCTAATGCTAAGTAAGCCACCAATACAATCGCTAAAAGTTGTAGTTAAAACCGCCCAACAATCCTATCCCATGCCGCCTAACCTCCTCACGATTTTCGGTAAGAAACTCCCTACGCCGTACCACTGTTGGTGCACAGCCAGCATGCCAGCCTGTCAATTCGTTGCAGCGGTTTTTTCCCAGCATAACTCTACCTCCACGCTTACCCCGTCTCCCCGCCTTTTTGCACCGACTGCCAGAGGGAGCGCTGCTGTAGCCCAAAAATTTGACTCTTAAATCAGCCAAAGAGCCAATGCCAACCCTTTACATGCAATAGAAATAGTCAGCCTAACACCTATGCAGCTGTTCTTACTTGCCTCATCTCGCCACACCAGCTTGAAATAAGCAATGCCTCAGCCCACAAGCTGATACTCCAAACAGATTATGCCCAATAGCTCCTACACCAATGATTTAAGCCCATACCATCACTTCTTACAAATGCTGTAAGCCACAGGGTCCGCAAACTGCACCAGACTGCCGTAAATGGGAACGGCCACGCACCGGACTGTCGCATCACCTTACCACTTCGCAGGCGTAAGCCCAGCCATGACGTTCACCAGCATCTTCTTCCTCCACACCTACCCCCTTCTCTCCACCTTTCCGTGACGAGTTAGGTTAGGTAGGATATGCTTGAAACATGAGAAAGTATGGGAAACTGGGATAGAATGTGAAAATTCTTCTGCAAGCTGGTACCAAAAGGAGGGGGAGCAGGGGGTAAGTGTGGAGGTTTAGCCTCTAGAAGAATGGACAGGCAGGGGGTAAGTGTGGAGGTTTAGCCTCCAGAAGAATGGACAGGCAGGGGAATAGCCTCCAGAAGAATAAACAGGCAGGGGAATAGCCTTTAGAAGAACGGACAGGCTGGAGAGGTAGCAGTGTACTGATAGCTCTGTAGCGCAGGGCGTTCTTTATCAAAAGTGGTGAAGGGGCTAGGCTGCATGGAATAGAAATATTTTGGGGTTTAGCGTGCGTGTGGGTTACGACCATTGTTTTGGCGGCTTGCAGCTCATTGGCTCGCTGGTTTACATCCTTGAAGGGATTTAGTCCCTGTGGCTTTCAGCAAGTAATCATGTTTGCTAATTTGCTGTGCAGAATGCTCGCGCACGGGGTGAGGTGTGCTATTTCAGTCGTCCTCTGCCAGACAGCTTTTCATAGCTTCTGCTCACTTGACTGCCTTATGCTATGAAAAGAGGATCTATACGTGTTGTAACCTAACCTAGCCTAACCTAATTAGGATAAGCATTAAAGGTCTGCAAGGAAAGCCTCCAGCCAGCCATGGCGGTAAGGTCGATAGTCGGGGTAAGTGTGGAGGAAGAAGATGCTGGGGGATAGTAAGGCATGGAAACAGTGACGCTGGGTTCACGTCTTGCGGAGTAAGTAAGGTGATGACGCATTACCGTTTGGTACAGTTCACATTTGCGGTAATACAGCGTGGTCAGCGGACCCTTAGGATAACAGTATGTGTAAGAAGTGAAGGTATGGGTTAAAAATCATTGGAGAACAACGTATTGACCGTTAACTATGTGGAGTAGCAGCTTGTGTGTTGAAGCAGTGTTGATTTTAAGTTCGTGTGGTGAGATAGGTCAATTGACTACAGCTGCTTAGGTGCCAGGATGACAATATCTATAGCATTTAGATTTTAGATGGTTGATGTTGGCTCCAGGGCTGATTTGAGAGTTAATTTGCTGGTCTACGGCTGCGCACCCTAGTGCCAGATACCAGTAGGTAAAAGTTACTGTTTTATGCTTTCATTATTAGCTATTTACCACGTTTTTCTTAGCTTTGCTTCGTGTCTGTCAGTCTGTCATCAAAAATTCAAACCTTAATTTAGAGCACTTATGAAGATCCTAGAAACTTGAAATTTGATATGTAATGCTTATGCTGCCTAACAATTCAAGATTTGATCAATAAAAAAAAAACACTTTTTTTTAATTAAAAAACCTAAAAATTCACGGTTGGGAATTGAGTTTTTTGTCCAACATTCAGAGTTGCCAACCCTAGAAAATGATTTGAATTGCTAAACTAAAAAGTAGAAAATGAATAAATATATAAAAAAAAACATTTTTAAAAACCATGTTTTTCTGGTGGTTACAAAGCTAAAAACAATGAAATGAAAAAAAAAAATTTTAAAAACCCCGTTTTCTTAACGGACAAGAAAGAAAAACCTTAACTCTTACATAACATTCTACATAATTTTAATGTTTTGTGAGAGTTAATGTTTTTCTTTTTTGTCCTTTAAGAAAATGTGGTTTTTAAAAGTTTTATTTTTATTTGTTTCATTTAATTGTTTTTAGTTTTGTAACCACCAGAAAAATGTGGTTTTTAAAAATTTTTTTATATATATTTATTTGTATCAGTTATTCTAGGGATGTCTGTCAAACTTGGGCACACTGCTGGTTGCCAAGAGCTGGCTGATGAGTAATTTCTTGGTGGTAACATTGTTTTTGAAATATAATAGATTCATTTTCTGTGACATAGATGGAACATTATCAGGTTATTAGCATATATAAATTAGCTCTTGTTTCTATTTAAATGTGTTTCTGGTTTTAGCCTGACATCGCACGCAAGTACAAGATCAAGTTGCTGTCTTATAAGGATTTTTTCCCTGGCAATGAGCCCAAGTTTGTCGAGTCCAAGAGCAGAAAATTATCGATGAGCCTCAGTCCAAGAGGTCATGAAGCTCAGCTCAAACGGCAGAAGAAAGAAAAGAAAGAGTCGAGTTTGAGAGAGAAAAAGGAAGAAAAATCAAAGAGCAATGGTGAGGACAATGCTAATAAGAAACGAGGACGTCCATCGATTTCTGGCGAGGAGAAACTGTCACGTAAACTGTGAGTAATCTAAATGAGTTTTCAGCTGAATTTCACAATGTCTTCACTAATGCAATAAGTCGGAAAAAATGTAACTCATTACTCGCTGCAGTGAGTAACAGAGAGCGCATTTTCTCGTCAGCGAAAACGTGAAGTCACGGACGGACATGGCGAGCACAATAGTGGATTTTTTCCATAAATGAGAAAATGAGCTAAAAATTAATAACGCACTAAGTTTTTTTGTATTATTATTGCTATAATTATTTTTTTAGGAAGCCTATCCATTTACTGATGCTTTTTCTCCTCTCTGTGTGATCGACTTTAGCTGGCTGAATTTTTCCATTCATGATTGACGATTTGACGTATAGTACAGTATATAATCCAAATTATTTTTCTCTGTACATTATGTAAATATCTTAAACATCCTTCTAAAGTTTGTTAGCACTACGTTATTATTATTCTTTCATTTAGTTAAGAGCTGTAGCCATGATACTTTGTTTTTGATACCTAAACCGAATTGAAAAATTGCCGCCATTCTCCGTTTTTTTGCCGATTTGTCATGAAGAGACGAAATTATTCACCAGCTCAACCAAGTGAAAAAATGTGTCATAATTATAACAAACATGTCTGAACCTTGCAGTGAACGGATCAAGACCAAGCAAACTGAACTGAACTTTGCCCCGAGCAATGCGCCTCGTCTGACAGCAGAAGAAGCAGAGAAGAAGAGAATGGAGCAACAAAAAATAATAGAGCAACGTGAGCAGCATTTTGCCGAGATGAAAAATATGCTCAGACTCAGATTGGAGAAGGAAAAGGCTGAAAAGAAGCAGGAACGAGACGTGAAAAAAGAACAGCGGCGGTTGATTGCGTTGGAGATGAAGGAGTGGCAGAAGCCAAAAGAGGATCTCACTTGCGGCAATCACAAGGTGTGTTTTTCTTCTGCTCTTTAAGTATTTGCGGGAATTTGGGAATTATATTGTCTTACATCGCTACTATTTGTTAATTATAGTCTTCACATTGCTGGAAGTTTTTAAGAGTGTAAATGGTTATTTTCCTTGACACTGAATTAGTGCTTATAATTCTGAAGCATCCTCTGTCGTTTGTTTATATTCATTCATCGTATTAGCTTCTTGCATTGGATTTTACTTTTTAGCTGAGATTAAATTAAAAATTATTGTGCCAAATTTCACGAAGCTTGAATTTCATATGAGATTAGACAACTTTGACCTGACAGTGGATTTGTGTTTCTCTTGGTTATTATTTTTTGTCGCACTGACAATCATTTTGATTAGTTTTTGTTCGTATCAGAAGTTATTCACTCGTCTGCTTTTTGTTATTTTCCTTTTGTCACTTATTTGTTTTAAATTTTATTATGAAATCATCTTTCATTAGGATCTTGGTACTTTTAAATGGATGCATGACATTTTTCTCTCATTTCTGCTGGTTCTTATGTTCACGTTCTCTCACCAGCCTCTGCCTGTGCCCGCGGCCGTCGCATGTGGAGTCCCCAATCATTTGTTCGGCAGCTTCGTCTCGTTGTTGGAATTCCTGACATCATTCTCTGACGTGCTGGAGCTGCACGACGTCTACCCGCATGGCATCTCGTTCGAGATGCTCGAGAACGCCATCGTCACTAAGGAGGTTGCCGGAGTGTTCAATGACGTTGTTCAGTTGCTGCTCGGGGCCGTCTTCAGTTTACAAGAAGAAGAAGCTGAGGAGATTACGGCTGATACTACAATTGATGCTTCCTTAGGTGAGGCATGAAGATGGTTCTTATTTAAATAGTTTTTTTATTATGTATGTGAAGAGATTACGGCTGATACTACAATTGATGCTTCTTTAGGTGAGGCAGAAAGATGGTTTCTTATTCAAATAGTTCCTCAATATGCATGTGCTCTGCCTATAAGTGTTAGCTTAGCACTGCACTTTTTGAGGATGTATCTAGAAATCAAATTTGATATTTTTGTCTATGAATGTTTCACGAGTTTTTCAATTCTTAAGCATTATTAATCTTTTATTTTTAATGCAATGTAAGGAAATTACGCGCAACTGACGTCGCCATATTGATTTAGTAGTGGTTGAATCTTACTTAATGCCTGTGAACATTTTTGATAAGTTGATGAGTTCCAACATTATTTTGTATTGTTGTAATTTCAATTGAATGTCCAAAAACAACTTGGTACTGAATGAAAGGTTTTGTTTTACAAGATTGTGATTTTTTTCAATGCTCATTTATTAAGAAAACATAATTCTTTTAATATTTGCAGTGGATTATAATTTTCTGATGTTTGTTTGATTTCGATTAGGCGCTGAAGGAGGAGCAGTCGAGAACGACCAGCGCGCGGCTGCCGTCAAGTTTGCTAGCCTGGCTTCTCGCTTGCCAAGCCAGAATCACAGCACCAGCCTTCATCAGCTGCCCCTGGACGCCCTCACCCTCACTGAGGTGGTCAGGCTGCACATCCTTGCTTCTGGAGCCGACAACAACGCCAACTCTCAGTGGAGGTGATTACTGGTAGCTTAAGTTAAAATTCTGTGATATGGGTTAGAAATTTCTTGTGTCATTGTCTCCCAAACATGGGGCATTCTCTAGAGATCTGAGTTGCATAAAAATCAGTTTTTCTAAGGACCTGACCAGCTGAGTTTTCTTGAAAATACTTTGTTTTATGCAAAAGATTTGGATAAAATAACCAATATCGGATCTATGATACTTTTAATAATTTGATAACACGATTACGCATGTTGGTACCTTTTTTGTGAGTTAAAGTTTTTTATTATTCTAGTTTCTACCCATCGATTCGATAGATCTGTTACCTTACAATATGTACCTAGTTTGCTGTACTTTTTCTTACTTTTGGCAAAAATTTATATATATATTTTTTTTCATAAAAAAGCAATGATAGCCTGATAGGTAAGCAGGTACCCAGCGCCACCCTCGCATGTTCTCACTCTTCTAACTAAATGTATTCTTAAATACGCTTGAGTTCACCTCTTAAATAAAACAACACTACTTGAATTTAGTTAGTTAGATCTTAGATTCACGAAACATTTTGTGTTGCACTGAATTGACATCTATTCAGAATTTCAGTAACATAATTTTCTTGAACTATTTTATCTTGAATTTTGGGTTGCCTGAAAGTGTGCAAATCGTTTAAATTTTTCAGGCACTTCAATCGTGGAGGATACAAGCACTTGGATGATCCTGGTCTCCAGTTTAAACTTGACGAGCCTCAGATTGTCAAAGATTTGGCTGTGCGAAGCATCTTTGACTGTCATATTGGTGAGTTACTCCGCCCACTTCAATGTTTCTTGACGCTCATTACGCTATAGGTTTTATTGCATTGCATTTACTTCTGTTATTGCATTCTGTGCATCAGGGGCCGTATTATCAAAACTTCGTAAGTACGCAAAATCGAGTTACGAGTGGCTTAAGTGCTGACTTGATGACGTAACTCTAGAGGTGGTATTATCAAAACATTTGCGCGGGAAGATACGTAACGTAACTGTACGCCTGCTCGGAGATGAAGATGGTTTTGATAGTACGCTTTTAGCTAAGTCTTACGTACGAATGTTTTGATAATGCCAAAATTAGGGTATACTTACGTAACACGTAACTTTTTTGTCGGAAGTACAAAAAGTTACGAAGTTTTGATAATGCGGCCCCAGGTATCTAAAATCAATAAAAAATTGAAAACACAACGTTTAAAGTATAAATTTTGAGTTTGAAACCATTAATTTGAATGAAATTCCAATTCGAATATGGTAAAATTTCAAATTAGTATTGAATACACATTTTTACCCCACATGGTTCTTAAACTAAAGTGACATGTTAACTATATTGTCTTTGTAACCTTGGATGCTGATGTCCTGATGGTAATCTTTTGGCAGAGGAGAAGCTGAAGATACTGCAGCTTTTGATGCACCAGATCCTGACGTACGCCAGCGTGCGTGACAGGCTCGAGGAAGCGTTTGACAAAATTAGGGAGGTTAAAACAGCCTTACGTGAACACCAAACCTTGCATCGCAATGCCGAGCGCGAGGACCACGCGGCCCGGTATGATTATGTAGATATTTTTAAAATGAATCCTGAGTATCATTTTTAAGATCAAAACTAAGTATCTTTTATGTACTCGTAGATCATTGTTGGTGGAATTTGAATTTTTGAAAGCCTGCCGTGTATAATGGAATCCACACCAACTATTTTGAAGTATTGACCTAAAGTCCGAAAGGGATTTCTTATTTATGTAACTAGTGAATTTCAACTTCCTTACTCTCAGTATGTTGAAGAAAAAAGAAATTCGTCAAAAGAAATTGAAGATTCCTGGAGCTGCATCTGACGCTCAGGCTAATGGAGAAGAACCTGAAGATGAGGAAGAGAGAAAAGAAAGGGAAGAAAAGCTTGAGAAAAGCCGCGAGAAGCGTAAACAAGAATATTCAAAGAAGGAAGTGGAGCTACTGGACCAGGTTAGTTTGCGTTACACTAGGAGTTTCCATTTTCAAATTCAATAAGTTTTATTTGACAAGGCAATGATTTAAGGCAATTTAGGTGCAACTTTCATTAGCAGACCACTGCATATTTTTCGAAATGCAAAATAATTGTGATAGCTTGGTACAACGAATGACCATAAGGTATTGACTTTTGAACTATGAAACTCATGAGGCTTCATGGCATCATATTGCCTATGGTTTGTGTATCATTTGGAATTAATTGGTTCAGATCAGAACTGAAATAACTTTTTTTATTTGGACTCATTAAAGTTAAGAAATTGTAGCTATGTGTGTACGGTTCTTATTATTCTCCTGTTCTGTAATTTAACTATGGAAATTTTGGAACAAACTTCAGTGAAGGGTACTATATCTATATTGTGAAAGATGAAGAATATTGTTTGACTAATGTGAATAATTACTTGCAGCTGATGACATTGTCAGCGAAGTCGAATCCAATTCCTCTTGGAATGGACAGAGCGTACCGCCGCTATTGGGTCTTCTCCTCATTGCCGGGCCTGTTTATAGAGGACGATAATGCACATCCTGGCACATGCTATGATGTGGCCACCAAAGACATCTGCGATGTGCCCCCGGAAGAATGTAAGGAAACTCTAGCTCGTCTTCTACTTGAGGCAAAGCAGATCGTAGCACCTGAAGAAAATATTGAAGAAAAAGCCAACACAAGTGATAAGGAAAATGACATAAGTGCTCTTGCTTCGCCCCATGTGAATGGATCGCTTGCTAGCCCGTCAGCTAGCAAAGGAATTTCTGACAGTGTTGCCAACACCATCACACGAGTAATACACTCTCCGTTGACATCTTCAAAAGCTCAGAAGTTGCTTACGCCATCGAATTCGGTGACCAATGGCTCCCCCAAAAGTTCATCAAAACTCTCTCAAGTTGGAGCTGTTGGCTCGCCCAAAAGTGCTCTGAAATCTTCCAAAGATCAATCCATTACAAAGTTCTTCTCTAAATCTCTTAAAAGCCCGGCAGTTAATGGTGAGACTATTTCAACTGACGCATTGAAAACTAAAACCAACCTTGAAACTGACGCAAAAGATTCGTTTGCACAGTCGGAAGCAACCTCTTCAACTCAGGTCACAGATTCTAAGATCCAACTGAGCAATGAGGCCGAAATCAAACATTCTTCTGAAGATATTAAATCAGAGCTTGAAATTTTTGGCCTTTGTACAGCCAATCCAGAGACTTGTCCTGTTCACACTCAAAATAACAATAGACCGAAGTGGTCATTTTTCCACAAGGAAGAAGATATCCAAGCGCTCATTGATGGCTTGAACGAGAGAGGCGAAAGAGAAAGTGCCCTCAAGCATAATCTTATTCTCTTTAAGAGTAAAATCGACGTTAACATCAAAAATTGCCCCGTGTTTATCCTCAACCCTACTGAGGTAAGTCGCTATCTCCATTTATATGCATCAAATTGCATCTTTGCTGATTCTCAAAATTGTGTATATTTTCTTTATTTTGATTAGGTAACATTTGAATAGTTTTTAGATACGTCTCGATATTTTTTAAATAGATGCAGACTTTGGCTTAATTGGGCAACTGACCGCCATTTTTTTCCGTAATGCTCAAGTGTTTTTTCCTTATCTAATTAGGACACCGAGCATGATATTGTCGTAAGGAAGTCAAAGAGGACGGGAGGCAAGAAAGGTGGTGATGGAGATACAAACCTGAACTTCCCCATCGGCACTCCTATTGATCGCATTTTGGAGCTCACCTTGAGGGACATGATATTGGAAGTTGAAGAGAAACTCTTCGTTGGAGTTCTGGGCAGATTGCAGGTACCTGATCGCAACCTTTGGCGCGAGAGTGTCATTGGAGAAAGCAGTGCAAAACTTGAATGTGACAAACTTAGCTGGGGTGGAAAGGCAAGAATAGCTCAATTCAAGGCAGATATAGGCTTGGAAACAGGCTCGAATTCATGTAGCAGCACAAACACCAGTGGTGATGAAATCGCCCTTGAAGACGCGACGCGGAATAGCGTTGTGCGTCAGCTGGCTACTGCTTTGTTGCAGGTTGCTCAGAGTGTTGATGTAAAATACCTGAAACCGCCTCTTGCAGAGACTGATAAAGCCAAGAAAAAAAGAACCAAAGCAGAAAATAGGCTGCGCAAACTCGTTGAAAAGAGAGATAAGGAAAGAGAAGAGCAACAGAAGTTAGAGAACGGTGCCAATTCAGATGATTCTGATTCTGAATCGGAAATGGGCGATTCTCATGGTATCAGTTCAATATCAGATAACACCTTGAGATTGCCCCTTGAGCGCTGGGAGTTATCTCTGATGTCCAGTGTTAGCTTTTCACAGGTTTTCTTGCACTTGGCAACTCTTGACAATTCTGTTACTTGGTCGCGATCCTTGACAAAGACACGATGTCGCATTTGTCGTAAAGGCGGTGATCACGATAAAATGCTTCTGTGTGACGGATGTGACAAGGGTCACCACATATACTGCCTTAAGCCAAAGCTCAAATCCATCCCTGACGGGGACTGGTTTTGTGACATATGTAGACCAAAAATAAAAGCCAAAAGCCCTAAAAAGAATCGAACCATATACGTAGAAGACGACGACGAAGAAGAGGAAGATGATGACACTGAGGAAGAAGAACTTGATATTGAAAAGAATGGAGATGCAGAGGAAGATTTTGAAGCGGCCGGTCAGGAAGACGAGGAAGAGGAAGATGGTGGATTTGAAGATGATGTTTGTGATGCATGCCGCATTGGTGGCACCCTCATCCTGTGCGATACTTGCCCTCGCTCTTTCCATCGCGAGTGCGCCGCGCTCAAGAAGATCCCGCGCGGCAACTGGAGCTGTCCTGAATGTACTGCACCTCAGAGTAAGTCCTGCCGACTCAATTGGGAATTCATGTTAGGAGTTAATTTACAAAGCTAGATCAGATATTTGTTTGTAAGATTTGAAATGCATTGTGTAATATTTCGTACAGAATAACAACGTTTCGATTATATAATGAAAAGTTTAAAGTCATTATTGAATATATGATAATTTATTATTTCTAATTTTTGACGGTCAATTCTGATATGTCATAAAATTTAATAGGGTCCAATTTACTTTTTTTCTGCTTTGGATGCTTTTCTGCACTCTAGATGTTCATACTTCACTATAAATTCTTGTGTTCCAGTTGATCGGACGAGAAAGACCAAAAGCGACGACAAGTCTTCCAAGCAGAGCACAGAGGAAGGGAAAAGCAAGCGAGTCATTGAAGGCAAGGGAACGAAGTCCCAGGCGGCCGGTGAGCGCGCCAGCAACAGACGCAGTGCTCCCAGTAGCCCTGAAACTGACGAAGATGAGATCAGCTTTTCCAAGCGGCGTCGTGCTCACAGCAGGAGTCCGAGGTAATTAATCCTGCTATATAGTAGTGGTTCTTAAAGTCAGAAGACCGCGGTTCCAGTTAATTAAGCAGTACTGCTACAGTGGCTCCAAAACTTGTTTCCACCTAGTTATCTAATTTGCTAGGGCACAGTAAGCCTGTTACATTTTCTTTGAGGTTTTTAACATCGTGCATTGACTTTTTTATCTCTTCCATTACTCTCGAATAACTGATAAATTTATTTCCCTATGAAGTCATTCACTACAGTTTGGAAACCGCTAACCTATAACGATATTAAAACTTGTCCACATAACGTAGTTGGATTGTTTTGTAAACCCAAAAGACCTGGGGCCATACTTTCAAAAAAGTTAAGAGATCGCAAGTTCACTAGCCAATCATTGACGGCCGTCAAGCAAAATCCACCAATCATAGACAAGAAAATAGAGCGGAAGTACTTACGTTCACTTAGCGAGTTTTGAAAGTATGGCCCCTGCAGCTAAATTTGAGGTTATAAACTTTGTTTGTTGTTTAAAACTGGATGAATTAGTTGAGATGTAACAATTTTTCATTTTGTGCAGAGCCCTGTACGTGTAGAAATTTTGCATAGTGGTATATGATGCCCACTCTTGATATTTTTTCAAGTGTTAAACTTATTTATATCTTTTGTATATGTGTCAAAAGTTTTAGTTTATGTTTGAAGCCTTATATCATAGATATGTAGACGCTATTCGAGCGCGTATACACAACGCATGAATGACATCATATGAATGAATCACTGGAAAACCAACTGACTCTAAAAATTATTCTTAGTGGGAGAATACCAAGACTTTCCAAAACGTGAAGTGAAAGATAGTTACGGTCAATCAAATCGTGCAATTTAAACAATTGTCAACTTGTGAATAAAAAGTTGATATAAAATGCGCTAAATAGTGTTTTCACATGTTGAAACAAGAGCCGAATTTGACTTCCATGTTACGTTTAATGGGGGTTTTGAACAGATTTTTTTTTTACCTAAGCATAAATTAAATTTGTTTGATTATATCTGGATTGTGGAAGGTGGTATTCAGGGTACATGGATTTCCTAAAAATTGTAGAAATGGCAGCCATGATAAAGACTTGGGCTGACTTGCTAGGAATTTATAATCATTATTGACATAAAATTCAATGCTTCTTATAACTTGAATGAACTCCTTAATGAACTTTTTTTAACCTGCCGTTCGATCCACCAACGTCGTCTGTAGAATCGTTCGACTCTACGAAAATTTCAATCTATGAATTTTCTGGTCATTTAATTGGACGTGCTTATAATCGTGTACTTATCATTCTTGTTCTTTGATAGCGAGGAAGTCGAAGTAAGGACGACGTCTAAACGCAAGCGATGTGAGAAGCCAAGCGAAGGCACTGCGTCTAATGGCAACAGCAAAAAGACCAGAAAAGGCAACGCGTCTGACTTGCACTTCACTGCCCTGCAAACCCTTCTTACTGATGTCACTCGGCACGATGATGCCTGGCCTTTCCGTAAGGCCGTCAACAAAAGACAGGTGAGTGACTTGATGAAATACTAATGTCAATCATTCACTGAGAAAGGTAGCGGGAAAACTGAAATTCAATAAACCGTCAATGAGGCATGTTTTTTTGACGCCGTTTCATTATACCAGTAAATGGTGATGGGAGTGAGACTTATTTGTGGCTTTTATTACAATATGGCTTAATTTAATTGTAGAATCATGCAATTCACGTTTAAGTGGTTCAATTTTACCTATGTTCGCAATGCAACCTCAAAATTATCCGTCATAGTTATTGCGATTCTAGAATTACTGATAGAAATTGAAATAATCGGCTGCATTCGAATAAAATTTCATTTCTGCCGTTGTCATCCGCATCTGGTAATCTATCAATCGATCAAAGATTTAAGTAAAATGAGCTAACTGTTCTTCCCGCTTCTATGTGTTCAGCTAGCTCATTAATTACGGCAATGGATGAAGATGGTTTTTGTCAATAATATTTTTTTTCTGTTACAGGTTCCTGATTACTACCAAGTTGTGAAGAAGCCCATGGATTTGCAGACAATGAAGGAGAAGCTTGTTGGTTCTGAGTACTCGACGGATGCAGAATTTTTGGCAGATGCTCTTCTGATTTTCCAGAACTGCCAGCAGTACAATATGGAAGACACAGACGAATACTTAGCAGGAGTAAACCTTGGCAAATACTTCAAGAAACGCGCTCGGAAACTAGGGCTTGATATCGACACTGATCATGATGAACTACCCCCTTCCAAATCCAAGAAATTACCTGGAGTCAAGAAGAAACGACAGGCCATTTGATGATAGGGGATCGCGATGTGATTGCTCTGAAAATGGATTATCAGGGGAACAATTTTGAATGTATTTCAATCGAACAAATGTTTGTTAATTTTAAGTGTGTGACTCGTTGCAGGCTAACTGTTGTTTCATAGTTGCAAATGAATCCACGTGATCTTTTTTTTTCTATTCAAAATGTCAAGTTTCACATGCGTATTTTGTTTCAACATCGGCCGAGTTGGCAACAATTACTGATCGCATTTTCCTTTGAACTTTAGATATTTACCGTTCAGCTAGCTGTTCATTCGATGCCGAGCTTGTTTTAAACGTGTCGACTTTGTCGAAGAGAAATTTTGAAAAAAATTAATGCATATTCTGTCGTAACAGGTCGACATGCCCGTATCATAATTCAATTGTATCACGGTAAATATATTTAGCACCTTGATTTTGAGTTGAAATACTTAGGGGCTTTCTTCATTCATCCTGACCTGAAAATATTTTGCTAATTAATGTGTAGACTGATTGCTTGGTCAATATTATCCTCGTGTGCCACTGGTACTCTTTAAAGTCATCAGTGTCAAATGCCTTTGTACATTCAGGGATTTGATCTCTCTCTGTAGTTTCACATATCAGGAGGATGGGTTGCATGTTGTCTTTGCAGCGTTATTTATATTTTGCCTTTCTTGCCATGCAAGGATCATACACAGCGCATAGAAACTAAACCTGGTGTTTATTCGCTCATTCAGGCACAACTGGTGCAAGCGAAGTGTAAATCGGCAGAGCTTCAGAAAGTTAATTTTCTATTGGGAAATCGTTGATGTATATAATTAATGGAATTTCTCGTTACGGGTTGCACAAGTGTGTATCGACGTATCGATGTGTAGATATATACAATGCTCTGGCTTCATAATTTTTCTGTAAATATAGTAAAATCTCGTGTAAAAGTTGTCCGCGTAGTTTCAAGCAGCGCGAGAGCCACGTAATGTTGAAAAAGTTGCCGATTGAATACCTGCAAGCCGATAGACGATGCAGTTGGTAGGCGTTATCATTCCAGCTCAGTTGTTTCAATCAAGATGCCGCCTAATTATTATTGGGAAATTTTTGTCGGCTTCACATAATAAACTACTTTCATTTCATTAATAAACAAAAATATTTGTCGAGGGAATATTTATTTCCAGATTATCAAATGATAGCGTCTCGGAAAGAACATATTGTACCCGAATTGTATTCAATTGTTACAAGGATGGCGAACTTGTTTATTTTAAGCTTGCAAAATATGTTGTGGTGTCTTGGTTTGCTGATCAACTTTGACCGTGGCGGGAAACTGGAAAGACCCTAATTATTCTAGTTTTCGATAGGTCAAATAATGTATAGACCGCACGAATTCACGGCTTGAGTGACATTATTGCAATTTTCGATAAACTAGGTGGGAAATGAGAGTTAAGAGTTGAATATCAAGGATTTTATGACGATTTTTTTTCTTATTTCTTAATGGTTTCACTTTGCGAGCATCTCTTTAAGCATTTTCATCATGAAGATGCTTTAACCGATTGTCGATCTTAGACATTTACTTATGAAATACAGCGTACCAGCGGTAAATTTCAATACAGTTCAATGCATATCAACTCTTCAAGTAATATTTACCATACTCCTACCTGACCATTTGAGCTGTTGATCTCTTATAATTGTTAATCGAGGTTCAAATCAATGTTAGTGAATGAGTATTAATGGTTTTGTCCTAATGTACCTAATTGGATTAATTTTTCTTTTGTTGACTTACCATTGCTTCAAACACCGCTCGAGCCCTGTACACTTGCAAATACAGGATAGGATGTATTGGTCATATATTTTGTGTATCTTGGTATTAAAGCAAGAATAATAATATATTTTTTTTTTTTTGTCCTACCGTGTCGGGTGATAGAAAGCTTTAATAAACTTACAGAGGAGAAAAGCATCAGCTGCTGCCTGAAATGCACTAGCTTTTTTTTCCATCCCCTCAGGGGGAACTTCTGACGGGTGTCTGCTCGTGAGAAGTCTTATGGGATTTCGCGCTCCTAGGGGGATTGTTCCTGAGCGCCCCACCGCTGAGCTCGCGGTGTCTGACTGCAGATCTCAGTTGTGGGGTTAAGTTATTGTGTAGATAGGATTCCTTACATTAAGTTATTATATAGTTAGGATTACTTACATTTCCCGTCTCTGTCTCGTGCGGGCGGCCGACGTCCCGTGTGAGCGACCTCTTGTTCGAGTGTCTTCATTTATTTTTGCTTTTCACCTGTCCCTCCTTGTCATTTCGTCTCTTTGAGATGCTAACGCTGCTTTTGAACCAGCTTCAGAGGGCTGGACATCTGAGACCTTCCGCCCCTTGTGGATGATGAACAATTTTTGATTTTAGAAACTTGATTATCGAGGATTTGGATTTGGATTTGGGGCGTGGTGACTCTGAGAAAAAGAATTTCAGGGTCAGGCCTTTGCAACGGCCATCAGCCACGCATCACATTTTCATTTGTTAGTAAGAAAAAGAGAAGGGAGACCTTCCACCTCTTTGGTGATGTACATCTTGACTTTCGGTGCGAGATAGCTAAATAGCTGAAAGGCTGAAGTGCTAGTAAACATGTGGCCCCTAAACTAACTGTTTTTTCATTACTTGTAATTAATCCATTCGATGAAATTCTGAAAATTGAAAAGCGACTTATGGACCTGTCATCACGATTCAGCCTAAATGTCCGTCCGCACTTTTTCGCTATTTGTACTTTCTAAGAACAGATGCGCCAGCTGTGTAGTGTGTAATGTGTATAAAGATTGTAGTATAGCAGTAGCACGACTAGTATCCACTATCCAGATCCTGAGTGGTTTTAACATTGGTATTTTCAATACCGTGCAGGCTTCGGTTATATATAGGTTATTCATAGTGTTTGTTGCTCTCTGTCATTGTAATGCACTTCTCCATCCCTGATACAAAGGAATCTTTGGATGATAATGGCAGCACTTATTTGGTAAGTTTTTCCGATTTATTTATAGTGTCAGACAGTAGACTGTCATTCACTCATTCACTATATTACTATACACTATTTTATTTTTTTATTTTAATTTTATATTACTAGCTATATACTATTTTATATACTATATTCAGTTTTTATTTTGTTTCAATTCAGTGAACTCCATCAAAATCAAATTAGGTTCAATATTTTTTTATAGGCTAATAGCCTAATAGGTAGATGAGTAGGTAGGTACACTCTGCATGCTTCAAATGCATTAAAATTAAGTTTTATTTCAAGTGTCCCAAATTACACTATTACCAGAGATAATTTGGGAATTTATTTTGCATCATGCTGTCATGCACCTTACAAATAGCATATGAAATTTTTTTGGAGATGCCATGCATTACTACATTCATAGTGGCAAAGCAGAGAGTTTTTTAGACTCTCCCTCAAGTTCATTTTTGAGTCCCATAAGTAGACCAGTAAAGTATCCTGGATACCAGCCCTATCATACATAAGAAATTGGTTTAAATCTTAGGTAAATGAGGAAGTTAAAAATGAACTGATTCTAAAAAATCTCTGGTTTGTCACTATGACTACATTAGCCCTTGCATAGTGGCAAAGCAGAGAGTTTTTTTAGACTCTCCCCCAAGTTCATTTTTGAGTGCTATAAGTAGACCAGTAAAGTATCATGGATACCAGCAGTATCATACATAAGAAATTGAGTTAAATCTTGAGAAAATTAGGAAATTAAAAATGAACTGATTCTAAAAAGTCTGTTGTTTGTCACTATGAGCCCTTGCATAGATAGACCTTTGAAATGAGCCCAAACTTGTTTATGTTCCACACTCAGGATGATGTATGTTTTCAGTGAATTTTCCCGCGTATTTTCACTTTTTTTAATCTATTGCTGTGCACAGTTCGTGCAATGTAATGAAAATTGATTCACTTGGCGCACGTGTTCGCGCAATCCCAGCCATCAATTCTACGTCGCGCTGCCGAGTACGAGCAGTTTGTGGAGGAACAGACGTAAGCCGCAGTTTATGATTACCGTACGTTCCGTATCCGCCAAGCGGAACGCGGAAGACGCGCTGCCGCGAGTGTTCTAATTCAAAGCCGTGTTGTATCCCAATACAGCTCACACAGCAAAGGGAATTCGAACACGTGGATGTCGGCAATACGTATCAGTTAAATTTGAAGCGCTGACGCAATACAACTCACCACGTGTCGGATGTTGCCACACAAAATGATGGAATAAAGGGATTTGGTGGGTTTCCATTCTAAAGGCTTTTTAATAAATATGGCAACATTTTGTGACGTTTCATTGTTGCTGACACGTAGTGAAGTGTTTTGAGAGTCATGTGAAGGCAACAGAACTTACGTAACGCATACGGTTTTTTTTATAGTTTTTCATTTCTCGATGCGTCCTTAAAGTGTTGGAATATACCGCGTTTACCCTATGAGGAATTAAACATTAAAGTTACACTTGAAAGAAGAATCATGATTCATGAATAAAGTTATAATTTTACAAAGGTTGTACTAATACTTCAAAACCGATTTGTATGAATAATGCCAATCAATATTGTTAGGATAAACGCGGTATATTCCGAGTCTCCGACACATTAAGGACGCATCGAGAAATGAAAAACTATTAAAAAAAACCGTATGCGTTACGTAAGTTCTGTTTGCTTCACGTGACTCTCAAAACACCGCACTACGCGTCAGCAATGATGAAACGTCACAAAATGTTGCCATATTTATTAAAAAGCCTTTAGAATGGAAACCTACCAAATCTCTATATTCCGTCACTGTGTGTGGCAATATTCGACACGTGGTGAGTCGTATTGCGTCAGCGCTTCAAATTTAACCGATACGTAATGCCGACATCCACATGTTCGAATTCCGTTTGCTGTGTGAGCTGTACCTATTGGGATACAACATGGCTTTGAATTAGAACACTAACGAATATTGAACACTACTTAATTGCGTTTTAGCTAATTAACAGCTATTAGGCTTTTAATTAAGCAAATTTCAATTTTTGTACAAAGCTTGGAACGATCTGTGTGTGTCCAATTCAAGTTGTGTCAGAATTAGTTTTCATGTGTCTAAATCCATTTCTCAACTTAATCATCTATTGATTTATTTACGGCTTGAAATCAGCGAATACAAGTATACTTAAAGGATTCCTAATATATTCACAGACGTATTTAAAAGTCTCAAACCATAATATTCTTCCTATAAAAACAGTTATTCACTATTTGGTAGAGCAAGGTCAACTGTCAAATTTGACACATTTTTCGATGATCTCACCAGGTGGCATTCATTGTCTCTTTTTGAATCTCAATATTTTCCCACTAGATGGCCAAGACCTAGTGTTTTGGCAGTATTTTGACGCGTAAATGTATGATGTCACCATTTCAACCATCAACAAATGCATGGAACTAAAACAAAGCTTAAATAAAGGAAAAGCTGGAGAGGTGACGGAATTACCCACGATGTCGGAATAGTCCGCGTTTACCCTACGTAAATAAGTATACAACTCATGACTACCTAGTAAAAAAATTTCTAGCTCCAAAATTCAAAATATAATTCAACTTGAACAACACATAAAATTAATTTTTTTAGTTCATTAGGGTAAACGCGGTATATTCTGACATTGTGGGTAATTCCATCACCTCTCTAGTTTTTCCTTTATATTAAGCTTTGTTTTAGTTCCATGCGTTCGTTGATGGTTGAAATGTTGATGTCATACATTTGCGTGTCGAACTACTGCCAAAACACTAGGTCTTGGCCATCTAGAGGGAAAATATTGAGAGACAAATCAGACAATGCACGCTACCCAGTGAGATAATCGAAAAATGTGTCAAATTTGACAGTTGACCTTGCTCTACCAAATAGTGAATAACTGTTTGTATAGGAAGAATATTATGGTTTGAGACTTTTAAATACGTGTTGTATTCCAATACAGCTCACACAGCGAACAGAATTCAAACACGTGGATGACGGCATTACGTATCAGTAGAATTTGAAGCGCGGACGGAATACGCCTCACCACGTGCTGAATATTGCCACACACAGTGTCGGAATATAGGGATTTGGTAGGTTTGCATTCTAAAGGCTTTTAAGTAAATATGGCAACATTTTGTGACGTTTCATTGTTGCTGGCGCGTAGTATGGTGTTTTGCGAGTCACATAAAGCAAACAGAACTCGAGTAACGCATACGGTTATTTTTTATAGTTTTTCATTTCTCGATGCGTCCTTAATGTGTCAGAATATACCGCGTTTACCCTATTTTACTTGGATTGGTTCACTTATGGTGGTGATTGATTTGGACATGTGGCTGAAGTAGTACTGGTATTTATAAATTTAAATAAATACTAAGTAAATACATTTTTTCATTCAAGTACAACTATCGTGTCAACTTGTCAAGTGTTTTGGAGAGTATTTGCTGTCTTTTGCTCAAGTTTCCCAAAGTTGCAATTGAATGTAGGAAAATATTGAAATAATGGGCTCTATTCTGAGATAAAAGTTTAAAATTAACATCTTTTAAGACCAATGAAAGAGTTCTATTCTTAAAAATTGGGTAATTGGTCATATATACTGTCAAACGGAGTAATAAGGGATTGGCGGGGTAACTCAGGAAAGTTGTCCCCATTTTGTAGAAATGTAGCAGCTAAACTAATCAAAATATTGCAAGACTAAAAATAGTGTAATAAAGTTCAACATTTTTCCTATCTATGTAGCATAAAACAAGTTGAGAAATCATACACTTACTACCTCTAAAAAATCCCCGAATAAAAGTGTGAAAAGTGAGATTTTGGAAATGTACCTCTGCTAAGTTCTGATTGATGGAATTTGCATATCTCATTCCAAAAAAACGGCAGCCATTTCTGCAAGACAGGGTAATAAGGGACACTCCCCCCCAGGTTGATAAGGGACACCACTAAAAACGCATTTACTGTAGAATCTCAATTAGCAAAAGCCCCAGTTAAAAAAAAATCAATTAACAACAAAAAATTGATTATATTTACCTCATTCAGCCAAAAAAATTTCACCTCACAAAAAATTAATGCATCATCGATTATCATAAAATTATACAGAGAATGTCATAGATAGAATTGTGCACCTGGCAACATAAAATGAAAAATAATTAACCTAAACTATGATTTATTTCTCCAAAAATATGATGGTTGTCACTAGAACATTCGTTTAGTTCAATCTGCATGCTTCAAACGTTTTAAAATTAAGTTTTATTTCAGGTGTCCTGGATTACCCTGTTCTCAGGGGTAATTTGGGCCCCTTTATTTTGCGTCTGGCACCTTATGAATTGCATTAGGAATTTCTTTGAAGAAGCCATGCGATAGCCCTCGCAAAGAGCTATAAAAAAGCCCAAACTTGTATATGAAATGTTACATGGGAAGAAGTTATTAACAAAGAACGCTCAAAACTGTCCCTTATTACTCTGTTTGATGGTAGTTTGACAGTTTGTTAATTTTGTATGGTGATTTTTAAATTTGTATCAAATTATCACCTTAAAATTTGAACTATTTCTAAGTGTTCAACTAATCATGTTCATTTGAAAAAAGATACCATAGTGTCATATAGGTTAAGCCACTTTCATTGCAGGTGTCATGTTGATTAATTTAATGAATTTTACTTTTTGCTTTTCATATCTTGTTTAAAAAGTGTTTCAAACTGAGAAAAATAGGCTCACACTTTGGAATTTTTTCAGGCTTACAACATCCAAGTGAATGGATGGCATCACTGCAGTTTGCGGTACAGGCAGCTTCTGAACCTGCATCATCTTCTCCAGCGTGAATTGCCCACAATCTCCCTGCCTGCCTTCCCACCTAAGAAGATACTGCCCCTATCCTTGCTTCAAACTGAAGACAGGAGACATGCTCTTGAGAAGTATATCCTGGCATGTAAGTTGCTGTTAAACATGAAATATTCACTATCGTAACATTCTCAGATTCATTTGACTACTACAATTTTGGGTACCTATACACTGATTTGTTGCAAACATATACATACCTATACATTTGTTGCAAACATGAAATAATTGTAATCGTGAACTTGAATGTAACAATGAACTAAATTTTTTGTTCTTGGTTTGAAAAAGAATTGCCTCACAATCATTTTATTAATGGGAACAATTCATCATTTGCATCATTATTTGACATTGAAAGTGAAAGTTCTTCATTGTTATCAATGTAATTCAATTGTATTCAGATACCAATAAAGCTGGCTGATGCAAAAACTTCAAAACATTAGACCTAGCATAGCCATATATAAGTATTTATTACCATAATTTTTTTGTACACGTTTTTTTTTTCAGTAAGTCAAGAACCACGGGTGCTTCTGAATCATCATTTCAATGGGTTTCTTGCCTGTGCTCAACATGAAAGCTTCACTGGTGGAGGCAGCATACAGGAGGTCCCCATCCAAGTCTTTCTCATGAACGGACAGAGGATTGTAGTGACTGCAACTGATGCCTTCCAGACACAACATTTGCTTCAGGTGAACACATGAGCATTTATTTTTCACCATACACGTTATTATTGATTTGCAGCTTCTTTCCGCAGTTGTTTTACCTAAATCATATTACCCATGATAGATGCATACTGTACTTTGTTTAGGTACTTTTTTCACACAAATTTTCTTTCATTTCATTTACACAAAACTAATGCCCGAGTACATTTGGAATCAACGATTAAAATTGGACATTTCATAGGCTTCAGAATACCCAGTAACATGATTTATATGGTGCAAACTTATTGAATAGGAAATAATTCTGCAATGAATATTCATCTATATTATTAAATTAAATTATGGAAATTCACATCTTTTATTGAAGTATTCCTTATTTTGTAATTTGTATTGAATATAAATGAGTTCAATACCCTTTAAAATATTCGATGTATAATTTACAGTTGGTGTGTCAGCAAATTGGTCTTCCATGTGAGCTGATGAATTACTTTGCCCTTTACCTGGTGAAGAAGCAAGATAGTGAATTGACATGTAAGTGGAAGTGAAACTTCAGATGTAAATGAATGTAGAAAAGCTTGGCAGGGTAGTCATTAGGCAATGTTTGTGATGTCGAGTGTTTTTTTGAGTGTTTTTCTTTGCCTGTGTGAGCTTAGCTTCTGTGCTGCTATATGATGGAAATAATTTTGACTTTTGCAGTGCGGACATTTTTCTTTTGTTTGTAGGTGCATCTCAAGTATTGGTATCTCAAGTATCTCAATCTGTGAATGTATTGGATTAGTAAAATTTGGAGATTTTGAGGCCGATAATATATTCCATTTGTCTTCAGCTGTTTATTGACAGAGGAAATTTTTTTTTAAATAGGAATTTGTTATTCGGGTGCTACCAAATGTATAGATTTCTATAAGACCTGTGGTTAGGCATCAAAATAATCACATATGTATTTTGATATAATGTAGTATACGGTACGGTACTTCTTAAATTGTTGAACCATTTACATATCTTCAATTTTTCATTATGCGAAAAAGATGCCGTAAGCATCGAAAATTTTTCCTCATAACATTTTTTACTTATGATTATTATACTTAATTATTTTTTCAAGGTTATACACTTGTTTATTTTAGTACAAAAAGGTTTAATTATGTGCACTATTTATTTACTGGATATGTTTTAGAAATTAAACAATCAACTCTGAATTTGTTTTACAGTGGTGAAGAAGCTGCAAAACTTTGAATGTCCCTACATCTCTCAGAAAAGCATGAGAGGTTCTCATAGAATTGTTCTGCGAAGAAAGTAAGTGATTGAACTTTGTTATTGCATACAAATAAGGAAATTAAAATTATGTTTATCGTTACATTTCAAATTAGTTGAGTCATGGTGCAATATAATGAAGGTTAATTTCACATTTCTCTCAAGAAGGTGAAATTATCATCATTAATGTAATTAAATATATTTCGAATTAATTCAATCATCTCTTCATTTTGGTATTCAATCTCGAATGGATCTAAAATGTTGCTATTTATTGCAGTTACTGGGTGTGTACGGGCGACACTGCAGTAGAAGACCATGTCTTGTCACACCCAGTGGAATATAATGTGTTGCTATTTTATTGCAGTTACTGGGTGTGTACGGGCGACAGTGCAGTAGAAGACCATGTCTTGTCACACCCAGTGGAATATAATGTGTTGCCATTTTATTGCAGTTACTGGGTATGTGCGGGCGACAGTGCAGTAGAAGACCATGTCTTGTCACACCCCGTGGGTCTCGGGCTCGTGTACGGTCAGGTCGTGGCAGAGGTTCAGTGCGGTTGGGTACTGGCCACTCCTGAGCAGCATCGCGCCCTGGCGCAACTACAGGCGCGAGGCCAAAAGAAGGAGGTGCTTATGCATTCTATTTATTCCTCAGACAAAATTGATTACTTTTATTAATTACTACTGCTCTGCACGAGCGTTTTTACAAAAAACTTCCTGTTATGGATTACTTTTTACAGGAGATTTCTCTTTTGGATTATTTTTTTAAAAAAGATTTATCTTATGGATTACTTTTACATGAGATTTCTGTTGTTGATTACTTTTTACAGGAGATTTCTGTTATGGATTAGTACTTTTTATAAGAGATTTCTCCTATGGATAGCTTTTTATAAGAGATTTCTGTTATGGATTACTTTTACAAGAGCTTTCTCTTCTGGATTAGTTTTTACCAGAGATTTCTGTTATGAAATTGAAAATTAAATTCAGCAAAAAGTTTTCCAATTTTACTAATTTATAATGCACCACATGAGAGTTTTCTCATAAGAAGAGCCTCAGTGTTATGCATCTGAAGTGCTCGTTTGAAGCGAGTTTTATGTTTCTTATATACCGGTATATCTGAATCTTACATTTTGTGGAAGATATCTTACTGTAGTAAATACCGTACCTACACAATATTTTTATCTAATGAAAATTACATAGATTGAGAACAAAGGTTGTAACATCTGGAACAAGTTGGCCTCCTTGTCTCGCTGTAACTGTATAATGTATATCATTATTCAGAACACGAGGTTAAATAGTCACATTTGATCATGCTCCTAAGGTGTAGGAGCATGTAGGTTTTGGTCGCATTCATTTTTAGCGCATTTTCTCATTTATGGAAAAAAGGCGCTATTGTGCTCACCATGTCCATCTGTCCGTCCGTCCGTCTGCCTGTCTGTCCGTCTGCCTGTCTGTCCGTCTGCCTGTCTGTCCGTCTGCCTGTCTGTCCGTCCGTGACTTCACGTTTTTGTAGACGAGAAAATGCGCTCTCTGTCACTCACTGCAGTGAGTACTGAGTTATATTTTTTATATTAGGTTTTTAAGTTCAATATTTGTGAGTAATTTAATCGTGGTCTTGAACAGTACCTGGAGGCCGCTCGCACCCTGAGGTACTATGGCTGCACGTTGTTCTCTCCGTGCGTGTGTGACTTCCCTGCTCCCAACACGCCCGTCACCGTCGCTATTGGCAACAATGAACTCAACTTCAGGTGCGGTGGTTCTCAGCATTTATATACTATCAAAACTTGCTTAAGTATATGCAGCAACCTAAGCACACGTAGCGGCCTAAGTACAGTTAGCGGCCTAAGTACACGTAGAGGCCTAAGTACACATAGAGGCCTAAGTACACATAGAGGCCTAAGCACGCGTAGAGGCCTAAGTACACGTACGTAGAGGCCTAAGTAAACGAAGCGGTCCATTTCTTGTCTGTAATTGATGGGCTTATCTTGAGAAGTCATCAGTGATTGGTTGACAGAGTTATGAGAAAGTGTGGCTCTAACAAACATGCCTGACCTTTTGGTGCTCTGCAAGATTTTTTTAGAGCATCCATATTATGTGCTACTTATCCTACTGTGTCTTCAGATGCAACTCTGAATTTCTGCCAATAATTTTGACTAGAAATGATTATTTGTTATTGAAGGACTGAGATATTGAGTGTAAAAACATTCCAAAATTTGAATCATTGAATATTGTGGACCAAGTAACAGCTGTCAATTATCGCTCATTAATTATTCATAGTGAGGCCTGTTGGAAATAGTGAGGTCTATTGGAAAAAGGAAATGCTTTTTATTTACAGGATATCTGGAGAAGATGGCGTTGTCAAAGAAGGAAGTTTCAAAGTTACAAGAATGCGCTGTTGGAGAATCTCAACTCATCAGGTATTGGGTGTTGGCCACGAACCCAGGGGTGGAAACGGTGGCAGAACCTAGTTAAATTTTGTGCGATTTAGCATTCGTGACAAGATGCATAAATGTTTTTATGATCAAAACTTGCTATATTAAAATTTTTTTTACCCGTATTACTAATGAAATTTGCAATGAAATATAGTTTATTATAGTAGGAAAAGTAGACAGATTGCTTGAAACAAGACCCAATTTTACACCAACTCCTTTATATTGCAGAAGAGTCCAAACTCGGTCTCGCCGTGCTCAGACATCGAAGGCTGCATTTCAAATGACCGCAATGGAACTTCGAAAGCACTTTCAGGCTCCAGACAGAACAGCACTAATAGCAACAGCAGTGGCTTTGGTAGCACGCATAGTTTGAGCAGCAGCAGCGGTCCTCATAACAATGGTTCGCTGGAACCGAACAACACAACTGCCACCGACGGAGATCGTCAGGATTTTGAAGACTTAGCCTCGTCTTCAAAACATTCTAATTTGAGTGGCCGTCTAGCAAGTCCATTGAATGGCTGCAGTGCGATGCCCAACCTCGCCGGCAGTAATGGTCAAGGTGAGATGAGTCACCTATACTATTAAATGCAACATTAGTTGGCTACGCAGATGAAAATATAAGACGATTATAATCTTTTTGGTTGTCGAACTATTAGATACAGCCGTAGTATTGGTTTTACCAAAATATTTAAAGCAGGCAGGAAAAGTACATTCAACATTCTCGAGGTAATCGTGGTACGTTTGCAGGAAGCAGTGACAACGGCGTTACTGAAGTTCTGCAGAGGCCAGACGCAGCAGGAGGCGGAGCGGTGTTGGAGCTGTCCTTTGAGTATCTGCTGAGGGCCGGAGAGATGAGATGGGTGCGGGTGCTAAGCAACCAAGCTGTGCTCATGTCCCTGTGTCTGCAGTCCATGGTACAACAACTCATTGGCGCCTCTGCACCAGGGTCATCACCTACACCCCCTGCGTGCCCTGCGGTCACAGAGCTGCCTGTCCACTACACCAAAACTGATGGATCTTCTGTGCTTGTATACACGTACCAAGTTAGACAACCGAGGGTGAGCATTAATTGTATTATTGTACAGGAGACATATATGCACTTTCGAAAAATTCTCATTTTCGGAAACATTTATATTTTGTGTCAGATAAGTGTCATTTTTTTTGCATCCAGTTTATTAGGTCAAGAATTTGGGTTCCGAGTTAGTTGTGAGGGACAGGGTATATTCAGCGAGTATGGGCCACACTTTAAAAGTATTTTATTATTGCTTAATAACTTTTTAGTTAGCACACTAGATTATTATATTCATTCGTGGGAGTTTTTATCCGTATTTAATAATAGTTTATGTGGGTGATACGCTTCTTGACAATGGTATTATCGATTACTGACAGACTGATTCCCGCTTGCAGAACAGTACGGCGGGGTTAGTTGCGTTGGGCGAACTGTCACTTCGAAGACTTACTGAGAAGTTTGCTGAGCTGAACGGCAGTAACAATAGCAGTTCAGCAGCAAGTCAGCAACAGCCGTCTCAGCAGCTGGGTTCTTCTGTTGTCAGTTATCAGCAGCTTAGCCAACACGTCGTGGAAAATTCAGCCTTCAACATCATCACTGACCAACATTTGTAATGAAGGGAGAACAGTAACGCTAGTTCCATATACTACGTTGCTTGACTGGCTAGGTAAAGTATTCAACTGAACGTTATTCAAAATTATTTGAAGGTTTACTTATTAGTTGTATGTGGCTTGCTTAGAAGACAAAAATTTGGAGACGTCGGAGCGCTAAATTTTGTTTTGCTGGCTTCGAGACAATTTAAGCTCTAATTAGCGATTATTCATTATATCTTCAACAAATTTAAATTCTGGAACGTTTTTTTTTTTGCTTTTTATACATAATTTTGGCTAGCGTACTTCCTGGCTTGCTGCATTTACAAAAAAAATCACGACTGAGTTTGTGTTCATGTACGTCCTAAAATAAAACGAGTTGATGAGAGAAAAAATTCCACGGTCTTCTGCAACACCGAAGGCAGAATGAATTTTTAGTACTAGGACGTGGTTTGAACAATCCAGTGATTTTTAAAAGTGGTTATACTTCGTGTTTGAACATTTTAAATACATTTCCCACTCTTGGGTTTAGTGGTTTTAAACTTTTCGGTATCTTGTTGATCTATTTTTTTAATGAACCCTGATTGCTCTATCTGTACGCTTGACTATGGCGGTTTGTGAGTGATGTAATTTCAATTTTTCGATCTTATACTTAAGTTAGCGTTTATCAAATATCAATCGAGTTGAATATTTCAAAATGTAATCTGAAAAATCTTGATTTGAGATTTTGCTTTTGTTGCATGCGTTGTTTGTTGTTTCTAAACATCAGTGATCTTTATTACGTATTGAATTATTAACTTTATTCAACTTTCCTGACGCCTGTTATTATGATTTCCGTTGTGAATTAATTATTGACTTACATTATGTTCAAATTAACATCTTTTCAATGCCCAATTTATTTTTTTTACATTTTCAGCAAAGTAAATGTTTTGAGTACTAAATTGCTGGGATAAATTTTGAATATTTGAACCTGAATTTTGCTGAACTGTTCATGTTTGTAATTATTGGATGCCACATTGTGATCATATTGATTGCAATCCATTGATTAGATTGGACGCCACATTGAAAAACTAAAATTATGCAAGTGACTTTAGATTTTTTAAGCAAAGATAAGCACCTCATAATAACTCCAAAATTTGAGCTTGTATACTATTTGATTGAATCTCTTTATCATTACTTGAAGGCAATTCCAGTGTTTGAGAACCTATCCTGTATACATCGTATTCGTTCTTGAATTCTTTACTGTCTGTGTTTTAAATATGTCCTTTTATTATTCCGTTGTGCAAAGTTGGCCATGCATTGATTATATTTCTTTTTCTTTCACGATGGCCCTTTTCTGATGTGGTACTTATTTTCTGACAGGGTTTTTAACACTTAAACTGTTTTGCTCAGTTAGACGTTCCGCATTCGTGAAATTCTTAGATGAGTATAGTACGCTACTCTAGCTCCCTGAAAATGTGTGTGGAGCATTTTTGCAGGGTCCTGCCATGTTATTTGAAATAATACTCTTCATTTGGTTTGCTGGAATGCGGTTTGTTCCTTGAAGATTATTTTGAATTAGTTTCAGGCGTAGATGGCGGTTTGTTTATAAAGTCTTGTGTCAAATTAGTACATTAGGACAACTGGATGGTGCTAAATGGCCCTCAATGTAGTCGTAAACTGGATGTGTATCGGATCCTCATGTTGTTGAATAATTCGATGTTTGGCTTTTGATGTAACAATGTTAGATTAGTAATAGACAATCTGAATCATTCAAGAATGGTGATGTGAATTAAGGATATGGTTGACCACTCTAAGACATAATTATATAGAGCTTATTGTTGTTGTTTTGACGTTGCTCTTTGTACCGACCATATATGACTCTGATAATTATGACTGTATTTTTATACTGTTGTATGTGCTACTGCAGAGCCTGTAGCTATTTTTGGACATTTTTTCCCAGTTGTGTCGTTTTATATTCTTGGCGAAAAACGTTCACGTTTTTAAATTATTATCAAATTGTGTAATTTGCAACCGTGGTCCTATTTCGTGCACACTTATAATCGTTCGATGCGTCTTACTGTTCATGCTCTCAGATCTGATATGAAAATAAGATTGATAAAAAATATTAACTTTAAATACGGAGATTATTTTTCTCGTTGAAAATAACTGGTTCTACTTTTTTTCGCTATTTGACTTTGCAAGCTGCCAATTTGAAGGCATTTGTGAGATTCTATGTCCTAGTTTGATTGAATCTTTCACATCTATAATCTATATGATTTCTAATTTCTGTAACGGAGTAAAAATATATAACCTGCGATACATTCATTCCTCTACGTTCCTTGTAGTTTAAGTTGTATTTAATGTTGTATTCCAGCTTTTATTGTTTTATGCGTTTTTATTATAATGCATGTATTGAATTTTCTACGAGTTTTAACCCGTCTGAATAGCTATTTGGTCATGTATTCTTCTATGAACTATTGCTTATTGCTGATAGATTTTTATACAAGTTGTTTCTCAAGTTGTTACAAATTGTTGCCTAAAGGCAAATACAAATAGTTGCATGTGATACAATTGGCACGTTTTAGATTTCGTGGAAGTTCGAGGTCCATGTAATTTGTGTATTACGAGGAATTTATTATCTTCATTTTTTTGCCATGTAAACAAATGATCGCAGAACTCTTTGATTTGTGCGTACCGTACAAGCAATTAATATCTGCTCTACAGGGTGTAGGTTTTGCATTTAAATACTGGAGTATTTCAGAACGGGCTTCCGAGGTTATGGAATTGCGAGTTCCAGAAACGAGTGCGTCTGTCACGGATTTTTTTCGTTGATTTCAAATTTTTTTAGAAAAGATAGCTTCAGGTTTTTGAAACGATAGCGAAAGTATCACGTGTTCATTAAATTTCTTATTTGCTCAGAAAATTTTACAATAGGGTTTACTGTTTTTATACAATATTATTGGATACATGACTAGCAGATACATGGCTTGCTTAATTCTAATGGGGACCTAAACACCGTTTTTAAGTATTACTTGCATTTTAAGGTTTAATGCCTTCAAAATAAATGCTTAATGAATGAATAAATTTTGTGACCTAGAGATGGGGACAATAGTCGGGAAATGTACACATTAAAATTCTAATAATAATCTTTCTGTCGGCGATATACAGTATGTGCAACAAGAGGACCGAGGACCTTCAAAGGTACATTGTCCTACACTTAATCTAGAAACTGGAATTGTAAATTTTCCATGATCTTGAAATTTTTGTCAGGACACGACGTTAATTCGTGACCGTCCAAATGAGTAACTGAGGATCACGGTGAACATCAAGCTTAACTGCCGCTAACGTATCTAAAATCTTTCTTATTTCATCTCTTTGACCTCCACGTATTATTTTTGGGTGCAAACATGTTGTATCCTAAAAATTTATTCATGCAGATTATACATATTGCTATTTGCTATTGAAATTTTGGTGATATCCTCACGAAGAGCGTTTCACGATAAGCAAGCCAGCTCGTCGTGGTGTCCCAGAGAAAAGCGGAAATGACATCTATCGTCATTCATTATAAACTACTTTAAGATACAAATGTAAATCATACGAAGAGCGACCATTTGACAGGTATGCTATTGATACGCGGGCCTGATGTTTTGCTTCTAAGCCAATTCTTGTATGCATTTATAAGTTGGTTAACGCTACAAACCCCATGCAAAAAAAAAAACCTTTTATTGCAAATTACTGTTTCGCATGCAACCTTATTACTTCGCTTGCTACTGTACCTACATTTTGCTTGGCGAAAAGCCTCAATCACCTCATGCCGGTGCGATTAAAAAATGGTTGGCTTTGTGTTTTGCAACCCTTTTCTCCACCTCGATTGTCTCTTCATATACATTTATTCTAATATTAAACGCGTATTCATTTCACGAGAATATTGTGTGATTATTATTTGATTTACTCTTACAAAATGTCTGAAACGTGACAATTCAAACAGTTTCCCAAAATAATGAAAAATGCTACCTATGGCCGCCAGCAAAAGATATCGTAAGAAGTGTTTGAACCCCTTACATTTTCTACTCAATGCCCATGGCACGTTACTTGGTCCTTATCTTCCCGCTAAAATGCATCCATAACGTTTGCTGCCTCAAAATATTTTCTAGTTAATCTAGTTTTACTCAGGAGTTCTACGGGTGTTGTTAAACTACATATTAAATGTACGACATCGAACGCTATTCAAGTGAGCAGGGAGTAATCATGATCGTATAAAGCACTTCAAGCCTAAACAATTCTCAAAATATCTACCGCATCGGTATATTGAAAATTAGGCTATGCTAAATCCGTGACTTTTCTAAAACATTCTAAAATAATGAATGCACGTTTATGAGTGATAACAAAATATCCATTCGTTATAAAGATAACAAACATGATACGAACGCCCTTACGTTTGTAAACATAGGCATGTTTTTTTTACATTAATGCCGAAGTCGAGTGGTGGAAAATTATCTAATTGATACATCACTGAAAGGAAACGGTAGGTTCCAAGAAGCATTTTCTTGTTATTAATAAAAGGTCTGTCTAAATCAAAAGGATTCGGTCATTTCTGTGAAAAAAAATTATATTGAATTAGAAAAAGATGAAATGCGTGAGATTGATAGAATTTTTTTAACGAGAGTCATCGTAGACCCATTCGAGCGTTAAATCTGCCTAACATTATTCATTCGTGATAGAAAAATTTAAATTTCAAAATATGAAGGCTAATTGCGGCACAGCGACATGGTTTCACGTGAACACAAAATATCTTTAAACCAAAGGAGATGTTATAGAGGTTTTGCGCGAGTGACTCGTTTCAGGATTTCTTAATTTATTTCCCTCACTAGACGATGCGGCATCGTGCTTCTTGGAACTATTCCTATTGTTGATTGCATTGATACCGTCAGGCGGGAGCGAGCATACAAAGCTGTTGCCGTCATCGTGGACTAGATTATCGCTAGACGTCGGATAGTGGTTTCCACTCAGTAATTTGCGCTTGGCTTCCATTTCTTCATCTATCCGTTGGGCATTGTTCTCAGAGACATACGCATTACTAGCAGCATCAGTGATGCTCGAGAACTTGTTGAAAACTGCATCTGATGGACGCTTAGGAGACCCATGGGGCCATTTGTTTTCGCTCATGAGTCTGACAGCTTCGGTCCAGTTCAAATCTGGATTTAATGATGACATCGAGCCACTAACTGAGCCATTCGTGGATACTTCGTTCTCATTAGTGCCATGTGACCCTTCTGACCAGCACGACTCTTCTCCTTCTTTATCATCGCTTTCATCAGCGTCACCCATAGCTGAAGATTCTGGAGAGTTGCATCTACGGTTCGCCAGAAAATAGGCGCCTGCTGTGAACCCGTGGTCCGAGGTAGGTTTTCCGACGCTCGTGTTGAGCCAATTTTCCAAACCAGCCCTCTTGTTGTCTTGGTTCCTGGCGGCTATGATATTGTTGGCATGGATAAACGGATCGACTTCATTCTGGCCGTAAACCGGACAGACATTTTGAGCCCGGTGCTGATTCTGGAAGTTGCCGTTGGACAACAAGTGAGTTGGGCTGACTTGACTAGTTTTTACATTGTTTGGAGACACTTGCGATGCGGGACTCCTGCTTTGTCGTGGATGCAGCAAAGGTGACGTGTGATGTGAGGCACTTGAGTTACTACCCGCTGTCGTGTGGTAAGGCAAATGTTGAAGAAACAAATGTTGTGATGAACCGCCCCTAGAGGGAGCGTTATTGCTGACCGCTCCGCGACTGTTGCTGGACGCTGTCGTGCTGCTGCTGCTGCCGCCTCCTTCAGCAGCGTTCAGAGGAGGCGGAGGGGGAGGGGGGAACTGAAGTATCGGACCAGAGACCATGGAGCCTGAAAACGATTCTTTAGTACAATATGATGCATTTCGACACTCCTAAATCAGTTTCAGAATCAATATTTTTGCAGTTAGATCACATTAAATGAAAAGTGGAATGATATAAAAATCGCATAGTTGTATGATTCCTAAATTTTCGGGATTATCAATTTTTTATAACATTCTATTATGTTAGAAATTTAGAAATTTTAATGTAAGCCTGAAAACGCATGGTTAAAATGTCGAATGTGATACACGAAGATTAATGATATATTAATATCAGTCCAATAAAATGAGTTAGTTTAAAGTTAGAACCACACGTGGGTTCTAGTGCGTTACCTTTTGTGCGTAGATATAAATAAAAAAGTAATAATAAGTAAAGTGAATGAATAAAAAATAAATAAAACTAACTTCAGGTGCAACAAAGTGTATAAAATGACTAACCTTTATCGGAATGCGTATTAAAGTTGTGCGTGAGTTCTGCCGGAGGTATGTTGGGAATATTCGGTGGCAGACGCGAGGCGCTCATTTTGGTCCCCTTCTGTGACCGCGGATACGCGGGGTCCTTGCAGCCGGCGATGAGTGGCGTGGTGGCGTACGGCTCAGGCGACGCGCATCTATGGACAAAAACGCAAATTGAATTCCTATTTCCTTATTGACTTACAATTGGCAAAAACAAGCCGTAGTGATACCGACCTCATAAGCATTAACCATAATGAATAGAGAATGTAGAGAAAAGATTCCATCTTTTGCATATCATTAGTTAGCGATATTGTTTATGGTTTCAACAGACGCTCGGAAGTGTGATTAGTGATGATTATTATTTATTTTTCAATTAAAATAGCTGATATTAGACTGGAACAAAAACATTATAAAAAGCACAAAAAATACCGGAGATTGTGGCGTCCTTTGAAGGAAACGAGTCTCAGTCCCTCTGGGTCTTCGTACATCATGTCTTCAGAAGCGCGAATTTCATAGCCACTTTTGCTGTCGTTGGCGACGTAGAACTGCCCACCTCCATCGGTGTAAATCGTGGTCGCGTTGCCGCACAAGTCTGTGTACCTTATGTTAGTGAGACCAGCTGGCGTCCCTTCATTGTACCGAGTGTTGTTCATTGCTGACACTGTACCGTCATTGTAGCGGGTAGTGCTGATAGCACCAGTATTGCTGCCGTCTTCCCAGCATCCTGAATGGGCTGACCAAGGTCCAGTGCAACTGTCAGCTTTAGATGAAAAATAATGTGGGCACTTGGAGAGATTCCTCTTTCGATAGATGTAGATGACAGCGCCAAGGAGGAAACTAGAGACAAGTATTGCAGCGCACACAATGGCGATAATCATGTAAGTGTTGCTAGCTGCTGTCGACGAAGGGATGGAATTATTGGGCACTGTTTTGGTGGCATATTCAATGCTAGGCACGAATCTCAGAATGTCAGACGGGGGTCCCAAGCCGAGGCTGGTTAGACCTCGCACCGAAAAGTCGTAAGCAACGCCCGGCTTCAGGTTTGATACTATGACAGTCGTAGCGTTCGTTGTGGAGTTGTAAACCAGAACGTGATCATTTGACGCTTCCACACCCTGCGCAATTAACAAAATTACACGATATAGTTATATTTTTAGACAATACAAGCACATAAATTCAACAATAGGATTTTACATTATTAAAAACAAGGCCATTCCTCAAATTGTTTCACCAGCACAGTTGCCTTACCTGTAAGTTGTAACCTTTGAGCCTTCCTGCTATTTCAAGACTGGCTGGCAATGGATCCCAGGAAACCTGCACGCAGGTTTCATTTATTGCTTTGAAATGAAGACCAGTTGGCATCGCGAATATTGGAGCCACCATTGTAGTTCTTCTCATCGACGAAGTAGGCTGCCCTTCAATAGTTCTATGGAAAGGTACTACAAAAATCTCATAGCTCGTAGCGGGTCGCAGGTTATCAATAGTATGACTAGTTGGAGGATTGTTGGCTGCATGTGGGTGATCACGTGAACTTGAAAGGAACTTTGGAGGCGAGGAATCAATCCTGGAGTGACTCGATATAAAATCAGGAGGATTAGCTTGCATTTCATTATCGTTGGCGTTGGCAGTAGACCGCTCGCCTCTTGTAGGAAAACGAATAATTTCAACGCTGAGAGCACCAACCGGCTGATTCTTGTCATTCAGAGGCCGATAACGCACGTAAACTCCGTCTAGGACACTGATGTCGTTCACGACGAACCGCCATGAGACTTTGAGACTCGTGCTGGATATTGCCTCAACGGCCACTAATCGAACAGTAGCAGAATTAAGTCGCATGCGCGCGTCCCCCAAGGATAACACAACATCGCCTCCCGACAGAGAATTGCGGCCCCGGTCGCTGTCCAGCGTTCTTATAACGTTCGTAAATGTAGCAGGTCGAGACACCCAGTCTTTGTTGCGTGATCGTACAGTGAATACGTAGCGAGTGCTGGGCACCAGGTCTGAAAAAACGCGGGGTTTCATAAACTTGAAAGTCAGTGCAGATCTTCTGTACATTGACACGGAATGACGATGCGTTATAGAACTATCTACCAGAGGCTTGCGTCATATTTATTCTATTTATTGCCACTAGGTCTCAATATTAGTTAATATCAACCATAACTGAATACATATTTCAATATTTTATGTTGTGTTACACGAGTGGGTATGGGAGGGCAATTCGTGTGAGAGTTATTGATCTAGACGTGGAATTATTGACTCGTTTGTAACTGTTGTGTCAGGGACCGTGGCATTGAGAGTCTCTAGTGACGGTTATGACTCGCTAGTGACGATTGTGACTCGCTAGTGACAGTCGTGACTCCCTAGTGACGAATGTGACTCACTAGTGACAGTTGTGACTCACTAGTGACGGTGGTGCCGAGGGGCGTGGCGATGTGGTGCTGCGGTTGGATGATGGTAGCTTCTCTCCAGGGACCTCGCAGGTCAGGACTCCAATACTGGACGCTGTGACTACGAATTGAAGACGAACCTGGCCTCCCACGGCTCCAGCCAAGGGTCACCTGTGTTAACAAAGCCATATATTGATCACATATACTGAAAATAAAAGCATTTAAAATCATTTGGATAAATGGAAGCCGCTTTCATCTAAATTTCGTAATGATCCCAGTGGTTTAATCTTGAGTATATATTCGGTTGTCCGAAACAGTTTAAGCAGAAAACTTTTTTCTGCTCATAATCCAGACCCGTGATAATTGACGGGCGTTTTGCAGTAGAAAGTCAAGCGTTTTACAACGGGGACAGAGAATAGAATTTACCTGCGTTGAGTTAATGAGCAGAACCATGAGGTTCTGAGGAGGTTCTGGCAAGTCTGAGTCCCAGAACATCTTGTGGAAGGGAATGTTAGGATTGGTTGCTTTATGCACGGCCAAAGAGGCTTGCCATTGGCTGCTGCCAGCAATGCTGGTTGCAGTGCAGGTGTAGATGCCGCTGTCAGATGTCAGCAACCCTGAGAACGAAGTTAAATTAAATTCCTTCCAGCACGAATACTCTATCTCGCACATTTCCGCTTTCAATATGCGACCCTGCCACGTCCTTGTTTGTGACGAAGTACAGACTTTTTTGTTAGAGTGCAGTAGTAACAAAAATATTAGTGTTGTCAAGCCAAGATTTTCGTTAAAAATGTGCAGTGATTCCAAGATCGCTGCACATTTTTCAAGGCGTCAGATGCGATCAAACTGAAAAAAAATTGAATATAAAATCTGTGCGATTAAAATCGCACATGAAACATAGGTATGCATTTGATATCAGTGTAAATTCAAACAATTCACCGTAAAGGCGCATAGAAAACAAGAGTGAGCAAATTTTTTATTATATTGCATTTCAGGATCCTTCAAGGGTAATGAGTGGGACTCAACATTTGCTCAGAATAAATTTTCAAAACTTGAAACCAATGGATTTCTATAAGGATAAGTTCAGTGCAATCTGAATAAAAATTGGAGATGGAAAAACCAACACGTAAATTTAAAAAAGAATCCATAGGTAAATTACGAGGTTTTTCACAGGGATTGTAATTTTTAAATGATCACAAAGATTTGTTAGTCAATTCAACTTCTAATTTAAATTTTTGATAAAACGGTGAAGGAACATCCGACTGACTACTGCACGTTAACTCGAATGAGTAAGTACAGAATAAAATAATGTTCCTACAATCCCAGTAAAACGAGGATAATCTCAGAAAAAATGTAATGAAAAAATTCAAAAGAAAATAATAACAAATTTTCTAATCCCATTTCATCGTAGAAGGTGCGAGTAATTCAGTTCGACAACTTACCCACAATCCTGAGTGTGCCGAGCTATAATAAGCTATAATAACAAATTTTCTAATCCCATTTCATCGTAGAAGGTGCGAGTAATTCAGTTCGACAACTTACCCACAATCCTGAGTGTGCCGAGCGGTGTGACGCTGTGACGTACAGAGCTCGGGTCTATGGGCTGCCCTTGGAAGCTCCACAGCACCTGAGGTTCAGGAGTGCCTGTTGCTTCACAGGGCAGCTCTGCTTCGGTGCCTAGGGGGAGGGTTTGGTTGCTCGCACCAACGGCAATGATGGGGGGCGGCATATCCGACACTCCTGGGCGTTCAGGAATATATTAGACACATGCATGGTAAATTTTTTATTGATAAAACAGAAACTATTAAGGGAAGTACATCTACTTTTATATATTAAGCAGAGGAACATATTAAACGCGTACATAATAAATGCTTGTATTGATTAAACTGTTAACATCAATATTATGAACCTACTTAATTTGTCCTCCAATATTATTGGATACCGAAAATATATGCTGGAGTTTATACGATATTGTGCATTTATTTTGCTCAGCGCGTATCCAGACTCTGTAAGTGCGCTCTGTATAATAGATTTTAAAAAATGCGCTAAATGCCGCAATACACAAGAGAACAAATTATTGGATGATGACTAGCATATATATGTATATGTCTTAACCCTCTACCGCCGTACGTCACTCTCCGTTAACATAATTTTAAACTTAAATTAAACGTAAACTATTGAGTGTAGCAACCTGAGGATGTTGGTACGCAACAGAGAGCATCTTAAAGTTGTTGTACGTGGCGGCAACCATCAGTGCAAGTCATTTTGCGCTCACTAGAACGTATCCTTTTTAGCAAGTAGGCTTGTGATAATATTGCTCCGGTTACTCATGTCAGGCGGTGGAGGGTTAAATAATTTCTAACGAGAACAAAGTAATGAACGCACCTTGTACTTCAAGATAGGCCCTGGCGATGGCCGACCCAGCTTCCCCAACTCCGACGCAGGCATAGTACCCAGAGTCTTCTTCCTGGACACCGACGATGGTGAGCGTGTTATGACCGTCTACACTCACCCTGCCCCCAGCCCAGGTCTGACCAAGGCTCACTATTAGACCAGACCCTTCATGGGTCCAGTAGGTCGTAGGCTCAGGGCTGCCGGCGATAACGCATTCAAACCGCGCCGTGCCAGCGACTCCAACTCTGGCGTCTTTGGGCTTCTTCGTGAACACCGGCATGGCTGAGGAAGAATAGGGCTTTTATTATCTTCATTAACAGCCGTTATTGAAAATTAGCAGTACAGAGGACGAGACATTTGTAGAGTATAGATGAAGGAATGATCTTTGCTCATAGTCTTTGAATTACAGTAGTATTGGATGTTAAGTATACATATACATTGCAAGACATTTAAAGAGTCCAGAAACTACAACAGTTTCCCCAAATTATTTAACAGTAATTTAAATTCAAAATTTCATCAATCAAATATACAGTCAATTGTTGCACAAATGCTCAACATTTAAAGATATTGGCTTCTAGAGGAACTTTATTCGGCACAAAGCCAAATGAATTTAACTTTATGCCTGGGACTCTACCTAGGAGCATTAGCATCGTTAACGAGCACTGGGGGGGCACTTGTGGATAGACGATATGCTTAAGGGTCAGATTATTATGGCCAGATTACGCAGCGCGCAGCTCGATGCAATTAGCAATGTAATCGAGCCAGAGAAATATAGTTACCCCCTGCAATTTAGCAAGATAATTAAGAAGCCTGCTCTCCGTAAAAACATGATTCCGGAAATGGCTGATCGAGGAGAGTTGTAGAATCCTGATTCTGGAATGGCTGAGGAAAGATTTATTGAATCCTGAATTTACATTCAGCGGACTTCCTATATGACAGACAGGTCGGTTTTAGATTCAAGATAAAATAAATGTGTTCTGAAAAAAAATCCAACTAAAATAGGAATCTTCGTAATAAAATAAGACTGATAAAAAAATAATACCGAATATTAACAACTCACAGTGCACGATGAGGCTGGTATTGGTAGCTACGATTCCTACAGGATTCTCAGCGGTGCAGGAGTAGACGCCAGCGTCTTCAGGAGACACGTGACGTAGGCGTAGCACCTAAAATCAATTTCATTTAAATCAGAAACTAAGTCAGCGAATTATTGAAAGTTTATAACTTAATTATATACGCCAACATGGATACTTGATATTTTTACGCAGAATGCGTACTGGGAATTTCTATCAGAATTTTACAATTTAGTGGCTTCGATTATTTATCACGAATAAAGTTTACCATTAAGAAAGGGATCCATTGTTTTTTTTTATGAAATGATGATCATAAACAATTTTCCTACGATTCTTCGCTGATTTAATTAGTTATTTATTGATCCAAATGAATTAATGAATCCATAAATTCATTAATCCGGGATGAGTTATTAAATAGATCACCTGTCCCTGCTCCTCTTGAGTGAGTCTCTCATGAGGGAGCTGCGCCCCCGCAGGGCTCACCCTCCCCCAGAACACCTCCGGCTGGGGGTCTCCCCCAACACGACACACCAGCTCCACGGTCGCTCCAGACTCGGTGGTGACATCACCCGATGACGACACCAAATGTGGTTTCACTGTGAGTAGAACCAGAATAATCCAAATAACTTCAAAATTATATATTTGCCCATGTTAAATTGTACATAGATGGCCTGATATATGACATATTGGTGATATATGTCATATATATTTCTATTCGGTAATATGACATTATTTGGTGATACGGCCCGTTATTTGGTGATATACGGTACCACATATAACCTGATATATGTCATATTGGTGATATATGTCATATTTGACATATGTCAAATATATGTCATAATATAACATAACATAGTGATCTCGGTGCTGCAGTGTAGGCCTGATGTGGCCTGACGCCGATTTTTTTCCTTTTCGTGCCTTGTTCACAGTAGATCTAAAATCGTGTCATTTGACCGGATCTTTTCACGACCGGTCTTAAGTTTATCAAATAAGAAATTCTCATCTAGTGATAGTTAAATGCAGTGTGATAGACTTTTTAAAACCAAGTATAATGAATTTCTATAATGTTTAGTGACTAAGGTTTGGTGAAAAAGTTGTTAGTAATATCAATGCAATTTATCTATTGTCGTGATATCGAATGAAGAAAACTTGGTCAAAGCTACAGCTTTAAATGACTCGAGACTCTAGGATTGTTTACATTTCCCTCAGAGGGACACAAGAACAAGTTGAGTACAAAGCCGCGAGACAGCACCGGAGGCAGTGGGGGGAAAAACCGTATAGGGGAAGCGTTCCTTCCCTTGGGCAGAAACAATGTTTGTGAATATAATGTTAATTCACAGCGGCATTTCTTATACATTTAGAAAGAAGCTAAATCTACAGTGAAATGGGACACGAGAGCTCGTTTACGATGCAATGCACAGAATTACGTTGGATTTATCAAGTTTATCGTAACTGATGTTTAATGTAGGAAAATAATGTTTTGATGTCATTTAATGTATTTTTTAAAAAGAAACGTATCTCAGAATTATTAGCGAAAAAATTAAATATCTGACCAAAAACATACTTCATTGAATTTGATAATAGAAATACACCGAAAAAAGTATCGCTTTTCACCCAAAAACAAACAAAAAAAGGAAAAAAGACAAACTGCCTGAAATAGCTGGAAACGACCCAGACTGAGCCAGTTCGGTCATCAGGTGCTCTGTATCAATTAGAACTTTTAAGGAGCTCATCCAGCTCTAACTCGATCCCTGGTAACTTGGGGCTCGAAAAGTTCGAAAACCTTGGGGCAGTTTTAATTAAAACGGGTCATACGATGGCGATACATATCATCGACACTTCGGATACCTAATCGATCATCCTACTGAAGTAGTCGTTTCATTCAAATATAATAAATACACTAAACTTAATTTCATTGTACGCAATAACTCCGCATGACACTAGCGGAACTTCCCAGAGTGGCTAACTCCTGAACAATGTTTGAGAGGGAAAGCAGTGTTTTTTGTCAGTTTTTAGATCACGTCTGGCAATTTTACAAAGTAAACGTCAAAATTTCATTACAGAAATGTGCAAAGAATCAAGCATGCAAAATTGTTCTCTTATTTCGAACAATACTCGCTAGTTTTCAATAATAGACTGGGCTACTCTATTCACGAATAAACCAAGTTTGGAAGAAAAAAGTTTTCATTTTTGGAGACGATCTGAAATAAGTTTGCAGGAAAAAGTTTCATTTTTAGAAGAGATGATACAGTAATGCAGGAAAAAATGTTAATTTCAGAATCAACCGTATATTAAGCTATCAAATTTTCAGAATATTTATTTTTGGAATAGATCACACAATAAACAGTATAAATTACGGGGAAAAGTTTGTGGCATCAGAGCTCAGGCGTCTCTGAAGTTGACGAAGGATCCCCCAATGCAAACAAAACCTCCTTTAACAAGCCACGCCGAAGAAACGCCCAGCCAAAATTTGTTAACTTCACAAAACTCGCACAAAGGAAAAAATCACTCAATAAAAAAAGCTCGACGCCAAACCCGCCGGCAACTTTTAGGGTAAGGAGTTTCTTGCTTGGCAAAAAGTCCAGAGCAAAAAATCAGCAAGAATCGAAAAGAAAAACATCAGAACAAACAAAGCAGTTCAAAAGGCCATGGAAACAAGAGAAGGACCTCAGTGAACTCTCTGCATGCACATCAAAAGCTTCCTATCTTTCACTTTAATTGCCGTAAAAATTAATGTGAGGCCATTACTTTCAGACTCTCAAAAGCAGAACAACTTTTGATGGCCCAGCGTGAAATATTTCGAGGCAACGGAACGCTATGAATCTATGGTTTTAGAAATATAGGTTTTAGGGAAAAAATGTGCGCTCGAAATTAAATCAAGTTTCGAATTTTATTTTAATGGTCACAATACAATTTCAAGTCATTTAAAAATTCATTCATTCTTCTGATTCATTGAATTCAGATTGTAAGATAAAACGAGTCATTCTTCTGATTGTAAAATAAAATGTTCATGTAAAAATGTGGCAGAGGATGAAGAATACTATTAAAGCTGAGAGATAGGCGGAGATCAAGTTTAAAATTATACGGCAGGTTGTCGAGTTGCAATTCATTTTTCGCAAATTTCTTCGGCTCCAACCGTAAATCCATCGCCGGTGCTTGAGTTGAAATTACTTGTTGAAAATTTTTACATTAAAACCGAATTTCCATTGGTTTAATTGAAAATTATCTTTTGCAAATTTCTTCCATTCTTACTAAACTTCTACTGCAGGTGTGCGAGTTGCAATTTTCCTGGGGCAAACTTGAGCCACTTCCATGTCCTACTCAAAAGATGGTCTCAAAGGAGTACCTACAGCAGACGGGCTCATTTCACGGCCTGTGATTCTCATCCTTAAGATTCTCGAGAGGGATACCTTCGAGATTTGCAGGAATCAGGCCTAAAATACAAAATTAAGGTAGCCAGGATATGGAACGAAGAATCTAGGTAGTAACTCGAAAAACATGAAGTGATAGACACTCACAAAATGTCGAAATGTAACAATGAAATGAGGCTTGCGTAGGCCTCTCAAAAATTTTGTCAAAAAAAGTATACGATAGATAGAAGTCTTTAGAATTGAAGGCTAAAATGTGAAGGAAATGAACAAACAAAAAATTCAGTTAAAAAAATGTTTTAAAGGAATTTTTTTAACAGAAAAGTAGGTAACTCAAAAATAGGACTCAAGTGTCCAATTTTACGATGCATATATGACTCATAAAATTCAATATTTCCTGTCCGGGTAGCAGATCTGTGAGCGATTACTAGCTCTACACGCCCTAGTTTCATCAGAATATGCAGCAATTGATTCCAGCGAGCTAAAAAATCGAATCAAGGCGCATAATTTGCACTTGAAGTCAGGCTTTCATCTCGAGACAAGTAGCGTCTCGAGAGGATCTTGATTTGGCGCCAGACGTTGGACGGCGTCTCGAAAATTAATCCGTATTTGCCCTTGTAATTCATTTTGTGTGCGGTAATAAGATTAGAGTGACATGGATATCGATTGCGGAGGGGAGGACTTCGCTCCAGAGATTTCCGGAAGTCTCGTTGGGATGATCGAATCAGAAAATTCTCCCTGGCGTGTTTACTGAGAAGAACCATCGAAGAAGAAGAAGATTGGGAAACTAGGCTTTGGGAATCTATATAGCAGCAGCCTACACGTTGTAGCACACAGCCTGTCTACTCACGTTGGGATTAGAAATTGAGTGCAGTCGAGGGAATAGATCAGCGATTAATAAATTTAAAGAGAACGACTTTTGAATTTCACGAATAAGTACGTAGGAGCAAAATTGTCCATGCCTAAATGAATGTTGAATTGTAGGACATTAATCCAGCTTTACGATGAGCAAAAGAAAAGAAAAAAGACTGATAACGTCTATGGAATTCAAGATTGAGTATAGCATGGGGATTCAGCATGGAGAGAAACAATGAATGATTTCAAATAAATAGTAAGTTGGGCAAAATAAAATGAAGTAATGAAAAGTTATAAGGCAAAGGTAGAAGAGCTGAACTGAGGGCAAATGAGGGGGAATTGGAGGCAGGAGGAGGAGAAGAGTAAGAAGAATAAACGAAGAAATAAAATAGAGGGAAATTATCACAGTTGTATAGGAGAGCAGGATGACAAGTGGAAGTACTTCAATGATTAGTCTGCCTAAATCGCTTATTCACCAAAAATTTTATATCAAAGAAAGCGCCGAGCATATTACCATACCATCAATATGTGAAAGCATTTTTGGAGACAAACACCTGATGTTTGAGCTGGTATCCGAAAAGTTTTCTAGCAAGATATGGTGAATTTGCTTTGTTTTCTTTTCATTTCTAGGAGTGGGAGGAAATGGGGAAGAGTCTCAGGCTTGGCCGCACTCCAGGGGACCGGCCGATAGGGTCCTACGTCATCACAAGTGACGAGGCCAAAGACATAATAGATTTTTTCGTCAATCTAGTGCAAAAAAAATCTATGACCGAATCCATTATACGCGGAAACCAAGCAGAAACCGAACACTTTTGACCGAATCCATTAAACGCGGAAATCAGGCAGAAATAACGTTTTGAAATAATTTTTGGAGAAAATGTCTTTTTCGAGCATATATCAAGAGCTTTTGGATATATGCTGAGCGGGATGAATATTTTCAAAATAGCTACGCCAACTTCAACTTCCATGAATATTTTTCTCCATTAACACATTCTTATCTACACCTCAAAAAAATCCAAAAAATGTATTTGAAAATTTTTCTCCGCACTTGATTTATTTTTATCCAACTCAACATCAAGAATTGTATTTTTCAATGATAAATTCATTGCAGTTTTCTCGCGTAACAGCGCATTTCTGGAACTAGGTTGAGCGTAAGCCGAGCGCTGGCGGTAAGCCGCTACTTGGCACCGCGTTCCACTCGGCCGAGATTACCACGTTACTTCGCGCCCAGAAATTCGCCTGATCCTGTGCGAGACATGACGGCGGCTACGGAATATTCACATACAAGGAGGGCACGCAATTCTGCAGAGGGGACTCGGTGTCAAGCCATCCAACAATGTCGCACGAATTTTTGTTATTCGCCGCTTGCACAAGTTAAGAAAGCAGCCAGCCTGCAGCAATAAGTTTGAAAACTTGCCGAATTTCCAAGATGCTATAGTGAAATAGTAAGATGGTAACGAATCTCAAATTAGGCGAGTTTGTAAAAGCTAGAGAAATCGACCGTAACGAGTCTAAAATTTGCCGAGTTTCAAGAAGCTAGCAATTCAACGAAGAAACTTTTGCCTCGACAAGCCAAAATAAGCATTCAAGGCAGCACAATGATGTATATAGGTACTACGGTTGAACTATCATAAACGGCTCAATATATTACGTGTATTTTGGTAATGGAAATTCCTGCAACTGAAGCTTTATGGAAGCATGTTATTTCACTGGGTGCATGTTACTCACCCATCACGGTGAGTGTGGCGGGTGGAGAGCAAGACTCACCCAGCACGGTGAGTGTGGCGGGTGGAGAGCAAGACTCACCCAGCACGGTGAGTGTGGCGGAAAATCAGTAATTAGTACAGTCATGATTGCAACAAAAAACCTAAGCTGTAAAACCTATCTATTTACAATTTCAAGCGGGTAAGAGCTAAAAGCTAAATTCAAACTAGGCCTCTGTTTAAAAATATACAATGATTCTAAAATGCGCAAATCAGTAACACCGGAACTGGAAGCTAAAACTTTGAAGTCACCGTCAGACACTGGAACATCGCACTGCTCGGCGTGAGCCCGCACAGCTGAATGAGGGGGGCGCGATAGTAAGTTACCAGTTCTACAACTCCTGCCCTTATGTTCTGCGACCCTTCCAGCTTCCAGTTCCGGTGTTACTGATTTGCGCATTTTAGAATCATTGTATATTTTTAAACAGAGGCCTAGTTTGAATTTAGCTTTTAGCTCTTACCCGCTTGAAATTGTAAATAGATAGGTTTTACAGCTTAGGTTTTTTGTTGCAATCATGACTGTACCGGTACTAATTACTGATTTATCTGTGTTCTAGAATTTTCGAACTGACGATGGAGCTGGACTCCGAAACGTTTTCTTTAAAGATACTATGAATTTTTGTGGAGTTTTCTTTGCTTTTAAGTTTTTTTGTAATAATAAACCTATACCAACCTGTGGTTGACGGCAGGGTCTAAGACTGTAATAATAAACCTATACCAACCTGTGGTTGACGGCAGGGTCTAGAGGTCTGCCGTCCTTAGACCAGGTGACGACGGGGGGCGGCGACCCTGGCGGGGGCTGACACTCAAGCATGGCCACCTCACCCTCCCCCACACGCGTGTTCTGTGGCACCTGTAGGAACTCCTCGCCCAGTTCTGGGGGAGCAAAAGTTATATTACAATAATTCACATTATACTATATTCAAATTATTCTATATTGCAATCATTCAAACTTAATTGCTTGTAGTGACAATAAAATTAGCAGAGGATTATAATTTCTAAAAAAATAGATGATCAATAATTTCCACGAATATAATCGTATAAAATTTGTGAGCAGTAGAAAATTATTACATTATTGGTTTTATTATTTTTGAGACTACCTCGAGATCGACCGACAAATACCTAGGAAATTTCGAGCATAACTTGCAATAAATTCAGGTGGAATAAATACAAAATAAAAAAATAATCTCTGGTATAAATTTCGATGAAAATAACATGAAAATTCAGGTTGATTCATCAGAAACCAGTAAGATAAACCCCAAAAAATATAATAAACTTTTTAAATAACCGAAATCACTGACGTAATAATTTTAAAGATGGCAAACAACAAATATCGTAATCGAACCGGCCACCAGGATAATCCATCACTGACGACGCGTCTATTCTTAACGAAACCAACATTGTATTAATTTAAGCCTAAGGGAAAGAATCCCCTTAGACGTAAGCGGAGGTGCAAGCATCAGGCACTGGGGAGCCAGTGGTCCCCCCATTAGCAGTAGGTGGTAACATCACATCCCCTCGCTAATTCGACTAATTCGTGGGAAAAGTTTTGCGGGTCGTGATTCGATTACCAAACCTTGATTAGAGGCTCTCGAGCTTTGACTTGTGGGCAGCTACCGTGAAGAGGGAGCCTTGTGTGTATTTGTCTTGGCTGTGACGCACAATAAGTTGAGAAAAAATACGAAGTTCCGTATTTCAGATGATTTTCGGTATGGTGAAAAAAACTCACATTTCAAAGAATCGTGTCGCAGGTTTTAATACAAAAGTAAATAGAAGGAACAAGTTCTCCGTGATGAGTAAAAGAAATTCATTTTGGATTAATAATAATGAAATTTACATGCAAATTCCATTTATTCTGCCAATAACGCTATTAGGAAAGGTAAGACAGAGAAAAGCTAATGTTTCTGATCCAGTCACGAAAGGATAGTCGTAATATGAGTACGTTTTCATTCATTAGCATAATATATTTAATTTTACATAGTAAAACACTAGTACTCAGAATATGAAAACGTAATTAACCTCATTTCGCTAAAATAAAACTCATCATTCAATCAGCGCTAGACTTCCTCAAAAGTCGTTCTTTTATTCCAAGAGCGCAATGATAGTGTTAATGAGGTAGAATTTCAGAGTAATTTGTACGGATTCAAAATGTGGCGAGCAACGGAGAGCGTTATCAAAAATACCAGTGACACGTAACATTCATTCTAGCCACTCTTGTATTAAGACGCTACGAGTTTTTACAACACTTCTAATTAACTTCACTTCTTGTCTGTCTGTCTGTCTGTCTGTCTGCTACAAATCTTGTAATCGAAATTTAATACACTTCTACTTATCCTATTTGGAAGTGTTGTCTTTAAAAAGTAATTTTTAAACGTATATTTTTCTTTTTAAATTATACTGAAAACAGAGTTGCGCGAATCACGAATGAGGATATTTGGTGAACAAAGTGAGACAACTCTACGGATTCTAAAACGAAAATTCAAGTGTATCGAGCAGTCATGCAGCAATACCACTCGGCAAGAAATTGTGTAACTTAAAATATAAGACTTAGGAAATATAAGTATTTACGTTTTCGGAATAATTGATCTCCTATCTTAACTTTTTAATGTCAATGCTTCCAGCATTAGCGTGTCAGATTGTAAATTGTTAACCTGAAGTGGGTTAATTGTCAGTGCTATATTTTCATGGAGCAAAGCAGCGGAGCATTAATTAGTCGCTGGTGAGTGAGAGGTTCGTTCTGCCAATGTACTCGAGGAGGAGACTATAATGCGACGTCTCTAGAGATCCTTTATTTGGCGCTGGATAGCTGTTAAGCGGTACACTACAGCCAGATGTGACAAATAGTTTTTTTGTCAAGGCAAACAATACGATGTTAAGGATTAATTTGTTATGTCTTTTTCGTTAGATTCAAATTAATAAAAGTATTGCATGAAGAAAAGTTTGAAAATTTCAAATTGTTGAGGCACAATTCCGGTCTGAGATCATTACAATGTCATTGCTATTAACAAAAAAAAAAAAAAAACTGTGCATGAAAGCTATAGCGAAAAAAAATTTATAATGAAATTTAAAAATGAAAATAAAAAATAAAATGAAATGAGAAATAACAGCAAAGCAGGCCAATTTACAAATCAAGTTCACGAAAACCTTGAGCGTAAATTTGTACAGATATGCATGAAAAAATAAAGCATGCAGTCGATTTTTTGACATTAACAGTATAAATGGGATATGTGTGTGTGTAAAATTACACAGAAATTTATTAACACGTCCTTCTGTTAGTTAAATATCACACGAACTTAACTGAGGTTGGCCTCACTATATTATATAAACTTCGGCTCGCTAAAAAGTAAAAACGGGAAAACCTAAAACTATTTCGCCTGAGAAGTGCACTCGAGTCGAGGGAATTATCCTGAATGGGTCTCAAGTGAGACAATAAAAGCTCCGTTGAGGGTATCAAATAAAGCCTTTGTTTTTATGTCTTTCGAGACTTGGCAAGATTTGGTCGTCTCTAGGTTTTAATCGCAGTTGATGGGCAGTCGAGCTCGCGCCTCAACTGAAATGAAGGAGAGCGGCAAGACCTTGCGGATTAAACGACAATTCGAGGTAAGTTCTTTAGAGGATAACAGACGACATTCGAGGTAAGTTCTTTAGAGGATAACAGACGACATTTGAGGTAAGTTCTTTAGAGGATAACAGACGACATTTGAAGCAAGTTCTTTAGAGGATAACAGACGACGATCGAGGTAAGTTCTTTAGAGGATAACAGACGACAATTTGAGGCAAGTTCTTTAGAGTTCTTTCTTTTTTCTTTTTTTAATGAAACGTTAAAATTAGACCAGCTTATTTATGTTGTCTTTATGTTATGCCTTCTGTTTTACTTGTTGAACGAAACCAGTTCCGCGTAGGCATATTTTACAATAATAGCTATTGAATATTTACGTGCGCAAAACAATAAGAAATACGCTCAATAAAAAAAAGAAAATCATCAACAGATAATAGAGTTATTTGGCAGTCTATCACACAGCGACGACTTTCCTGAACCTGGCCATAGTTTCAGGCACAAATGGAGTCATTTGAGGGAACAAAAAAATAAACACTCAAAATAAAAAGACTATATAGCACATGCGCTCGCTAATGCATCACGGCTCTTGTATGGACGAGAGGCTTCCGCGAGCTAAAGCTAGCAAATAAAAAATAACATAGACCACTCTGTCCTATCTGAACAAAGCATCCAGTGACTTCTAACTTAATGATTAGAGCACCATTAATTCATTAATTCTTATGCGCCATTTAATTAGACTTGATAGAGATTGCTAAATACAGTAAGCAAAAACAAATTGCCGCTATTGAGCGCGTTCAAGTTAACGAACGTTCATAAATACAATTCGTTGGTAAATTCCAACCACACGAGATAGAAAATTTTGGATAACGAAAAATTCATTGAGAAAAAATACGTAACCTCAAATTTTGATGCGTGATTTTTTGCTCCATTTTTTTTTTAAATAACGAATGGGAAAACGCGGCGCAGGCACAGCTGTTTGTCGGGCGGCGGTAGAAATAAGAAGCGAACTATTCTGAGAAAACGAATTACTTCACAATGAACTGCGTCTGTATGCATACTGCCATATGTGAACAAACAATAACAGTCCTAATAAAAGCGTAGACAAATGTGAGTATGGCATGTTAAAAACAAACGCTGTAATGCTCGAATACACTGAAGTGTATTCGAGAATAGCCTCCTGCCGGCTTTCAATACGAGAAAAGTAAATGTGGCTAGAAGTAATAGTCGTGGTATTTCTAATTAATATTCTTAAAGTTTATTGTCTTGCAAGCATGACGACATTACATAGGAAACAATTATGGAGATACGCACAAATATACAAATAAAACTCGGGCAGTAGCAAAAACGCAAAAAAAAAACAAACGCAAGGAAAAAACTTTACTACATTAAAGCGACAGAACAAAAAAATTGTTGACTCGAGTACGGCTTCGATCTAAAAAACCGCCCCGCGATAAATGAAGACAAATTGTGAGTGGCAAAGAAAACAGGGAAAGCATTTAGGGAATTGAAGGGCGATTAAGGAGGGGCGCGAAGGAAGCTCCGTGTAGAATGCAATCTCGTAATTTAGCCTCATCTCCAAAAGCTAAGATCAACAAGCAGGGTAGCTGAGCTGAGAGCGAGGGATGCGCTAAACATGTTGATTATTTTCATCAGATCAGTGGTTTTCTCGGTGTTCTCTCGCTAATTGATTTGTTTAGGTTTTAAAATTATATTAATGCTACATTAATATTTAATCACACATTAAAACTCTTACAAATGCATATTCAAGGTTGCAAACGGAAAAAAGTACAAAGACCAAAACACAATTGTTAGCTTAACATGAAATGCTTAAAAAAAATTCAAATTTTTGAGGAACGAACTGAAATGAATGGCAAGCTCAAACCTTTACTGCGTCTGCGAGGTTAGTGTGCAACCAAATACGCGAGACAAACTGGCTACAAAGCACAATTATTCATGCAATCGATATCGATGAAAATGAAGCCCGTAGAAAAACAGAGAACTAGTCTGATGTGTTTAAAGTCGGGTGCTTTCTAGACTGCAGTTGACGCGTGCTGGTAATGAAGTGTGCAGTTCAGACCCTCGGCCAAGCACCGTATCGTCTACACCAGCAGCACAAAAAAGAAACCAAGATTCGAGTCTTGAATGCTTTTAAACTTAGCTAATTTGAAGTCATTGAACATTTGTATTATTTTAGTTAAAAAATATCACTAACTCGGGTGTGCATACCACCAAATAAAGAAAACCACAGGTGCCAATCGAATGCACAAAAAATTCGTTCAAATGAAGCGGCAGCAAAAAAGCAGCTTTCAAATAAAGG